ATTATTCCTTCATGGGACAATGAGAACATATTAGGTTTCAGTCTGATGTTGGAGATGAACAACACGGCCTTTTTGTGACTGTGAGCTCCAGCCAGAAGCCTGCTCTGCGTAAATCAGTTTCCTCCACGTTGAGCCTACTGGACAACAGAGACTGTAGACACACTGAAGTGGGGCTGTAATCAGAATTTCTGGACAACATGCTTCTTGCATCCCATTCTTGCAGAAGGAATCTTCTAATTATGCCTGTCTGCTGTCAACTTTTATTACCTGAATTATTTGAATTTTGATTATCTAAGGGAAAGTCTTATTCCCAAATTGGTTTCCCTCAACATCTCTCCTAGAGTTACTGCATCTTGGAGAATATAAGCTCATTTTCACTCTAGTCTAAACCCCCATAGGTGAGAACAATCCCTGAATTGAACCCGTACCCTGAGTTGAACTCAGATCTGTGTACTTCCTGCCTCTGCTAGGAACGATGTCGTACTTAGGTAGTAGCATAAGTGAAATTGTTGCAACAGGATTTCTGTTCAGATTCTAGCAGCTCCCAAACCCTGCTGCGAAGAACATGACCCAGCTGTGGAAATCGTGGGTCCCAAAATAGGACTGCAGACCTCTGGCGCTGTGTATCCCTTGAGACCGGCTAGAGCACATTCCCTGTTGTTTCTGCGCTTCTGCAGGTCCCCGCGTTCTTGAAAGTGGCGTTGTTGGGTCAGGATTCTGCCTTCCCCACTGAAGATGAGTTAACACGTGTGCGTGCGTGCGTGTGTGTGTCCACGTTACTGCTGCCCTCTGGGGCCTCCTGACTGAATTTCTACCTCCATCCCAGCACTAGCACATCCTGTTATTTCCAGGGCCATTTTTCACGAAGTTTTGATTATTCTTTCTGTCTCACTTAGTGAGAAGGACCAGACTCACAGGAACAGTGAGGGAACAACACAGCCACCATCGACAAGCAGATGTGGCCTCCTCCTATGTCTGCAGAAATGCTCAGTGGCTGCTAGGCCTAGACACTCTGGCTAATGGCTGCCGACCCCATTTGCACCTCCATCAAGTGCCTTATAACTGGGGAGCCTCACCCCACACACCTCCGTTGAAGCAGCTGTCGTCAAGTCTACTGGCACAGAGTCTTCTGTCCAGTCAGCCACTCCCACCATGTGCCTGTCCTGCCCAGTTTGGTCTAAACCCCCACATGAGTTCCCCATATTAAAGGAGTTAAAATGCACTGCCACCTTGTATGCTCAATATCAAAGCTGTGAGTGATTTGGGATTTATCTGTAATGTCAGAAGCTACTGCTGATAGTATTGGGCGGTGTCTTGGTCTGCACATGCTCAGTGTAACTTCTCTGCGGAGAGGGCAGGAAGGAGATGCAGAAGAGCAGCAACAGCCCCGCCTTCCCAGCCCCGGAAGCCCTGTCAGCATAGGGCAGTGTGTGCCCCTGTCCTCTGATCTGCGAACAGGTGTGTGGCCTGCCACAGTGGAGGGTGGCACGTGGTCTAGGCATACCTTGGCAAAGGCAGAAAGTGAACTTGCCATTTTCTCCTAATTTCCAAGCTAATTGCTGAGGGCCTTTGCAACATTTTTTAATATGTTAAGAACTTTGAACAGCTGGCAGCTATCAAATAAAATAATGGCAGTGGTGGGGAAGTGCAGTCTTTGGATGAGCTAGTTGTTTCATGCCATGCCTGGCACCAGTAGCTGCTCAGCTTCGGTCCCCAAGAAGCAGGTATAGAGATTTCCTTCATCCAAGGCAGCACGGCCCGGTGGTGAAGAGCGTACTGCAGAGGTTCAAGTCCCAGCCCTGCTTTTCTTGCTGTGTGACCTCAAGCAAGCTTGTGCATCAGTGTCTTCTGTAGAAGAAAGGTCTGCTTGATGGAGAGAAAGTCCTTAGACCAGTGCCTGGTACCTTCCGTTGTTGCTGAAAACCTATCATCATCATCATTATTATTAGCAGCAGCAGCCACATGTGGCTCTGCCAGGGCTGGCTGCTGGTCTCCATGTCCAGCAGGCACCCTAAATAGTCTCGAGAGCCTTTACCAACCCCAGGTTGCTGAGCCAAGGTCCCTGCAGCTGCTAGCGCATGCCCCGCACATACAGTTGCTCCTCGGCTTGCGCTTTGTAGGCCTTTTCTGAGTCTGCCACCAGCTGTCTCTCTCGGGTTTCATTCTGCTGCTAAAGATAGTCCTGCCACATTTCTGCCCTATCATCAGGTTCCCAGGATGTGTGGCTTAGAAAAAGAATGGCAGTTGAGAAAGCAGTTTTCATCCTCTTCCAACTGCATAGTGTTCCGACCTTTTACCTGCTCTGAAGGTAGAAAGCAGGAGACCACTTTGGGGCAAGCATCGGGGTTCCTTTCCAGAGCAGGAGGTGGAAACAAGGTGACCCCTCTGATTCATCTCACACCTGCATTGACCAACTGACAAACCCTTTAGCAGTGGTGCTTCCTGTCTGTGCCTAAGACGTCACCTGGCATCGGCCCTGGGTGTATTTGAATGCTTTGGGAAATCTGATTAGAATGTGAAAACAGTGCTTCCTGGCCGTAGAGCTGTAAAGACTGTCTGCTGTTAACACGAAAGACAGAACCTGTTGGCCCCCCTGTTTTAGCTGTCTCTGAAGGCACGTTCAGAGCCACAGTCGGCCAGGGCACCTGCCGCACCGGGCGGCTGAAGTTTCAGTGGTCTGATGTCGGGGACGTGGGTACTGAGGCCAGCATTTGCTTGTTGCCTGTGACAAGGATGTGAAGGGTCCCTTCATGCGTGACCTTTCTGTGTGGCTCTTAATAGGGGTTGTTTTTATTTAAGGGAATTACTGTTCCACTGTTTCCCTGAGAAATCAGATGACTGCACTGCTGCATTCACCAGGGACTTGTGGGCCTTACGCCAGGCGCATGAGCCTGTGCCAATCTCGCAGGAAAACTAAAACGACCTTCCCCTGAATGCTGGGTGGGTTTTCTCCTGAAAGTGGGCTCCTGATCTGAAGAGCCGGAACAGGCCGTCCCTGAGTGACTTTTCATTGATCCATCATCGTCAGCTTCCCGCAGCCCCCGCTCCTCATCGCTCACCCCCTCACCGGCGCCGACCATCACATCCGCTTCCCATTACGTCCTGAAGCCCGGCTCCCCAGTGAAGTACAGTCCCAGCCCAGGAGGCTCCATCACAGCGCTGACACAAGAAGACAAACAGAAATCTGACTGGCCGTGTTATCCATCCAATAAAAAAACCACCCAAGGGTAGAGGAGTGGATATTCATCACATCGCGGCCACTCAGCCAAGCCTGCGAGTTCAAGTGCAATATTTCTAGGTGGAGTGAGAAAAACCTTTTCCTTGGCAAAGCAGAGAGTTCTGACAGCTCTTTTCGCCAGCCGGCCAGCTTGTCTAGGGTAGAACAAAGGGAATTCTGCCCGTCTGATTTGGGCCAGATAGTGGCTTTCTGCTTCCCCAGTGGTTCGTGTGTTGTCGCCAAAGTTTGCATACTTTTCCATAAGTTAGGCAAAACCGCCTCTGCCTGCGTCTGGATTTGCCTTTATCTGCAGTCAAGCTTGGGCTGCCAAGGTGGCCTTTGCCCTGGTTTAGCATGAGCAGAATAATAGCAGGGGCTTGAAAAGAGATTCGGGAGATGATTGTGGGATTATTCAGTAGGCTTGTCACCAGAGAATTTAGCTGTTACAAAGGGCATGCAGATTTTGTTATTATGGAATTTCTACGGTAGCACCGCTGTGCCTGTGTGTCTACGGTACAGCTAAACTCTCAGAGCATGTTTGTTAGTATGTCTCATCTCTTTCCAGTATCTTACTTTTTCCAGAAAGTTCTTTTAGGTTAGTGAACGCTTTCTGCAAGGAAGCAAGGGTGAGAGCCTTGCCTGCAGTAAGAACTTATAAAGGAATATTTCAAGGAAGATGGTTTGAATTTCAACAGGCAGAGGAAATCTACTACTTAAAATATTTTCTCCCGGTGTTTGGAAATTTGAGGCCCCTATGTGAGCAGAACATGTTTTTCTATTTTTACCAAAAAAACAAGGGCAGACTTGGCTAAAGTTCTTGGTTCTGCCATACCGACCTGAACTGGCAGGTAGCTATGGTGTGTGATGCGACGGTGCCTTGAGGTGACTCTTGTGCTGCCGGCAGATCTCATTCTTAAGGGGGAACATGGCAATGATGGGAATGAGTGCTCGTATGTGATTTTTAAGACACAGGTGGGGAGAGCCGTGGAATCCCACACTGACAGCCACCAGGCAGCCGCCACTGGTGCCCATGACTTAGCTCTGGTGGTAAAAGGACAAGGTGGCCCGTGACACCCAGAGCTGACTGTCCAGTGGGGGGAATCAGTTGTCTTCTTCAAAGTCTCCTGGATGAGCCACCCACGGGTTGTTATCACAGGACTGGGTGAGAGGCAGGGTCAGGTGTGCCTGGCTGGGCTGCAGAGGCCAGGAAAGCTGCTGTGACTCCCCCAGTCATATGAAGTAAGTGGGTCACTGTGCCTGTCCATGTCCATCTTCATTCTGAAAACCATTTCTGTCACCTCTTAGGGTGATGCAAAGGTGAACACAGTGATGATCCATTGTTGGTTTTCCAGAGTACTCTGTTCCTTCTTGATTGGCTGCTTTTCTTGCTGCCTTATTCTCGCCATCGCTAGCCCCCCAGCAGAGGACAGGCCCAGAAAGAGTAAGGCCAGTTAAACCCAGCCCACATCACGAGCCCCAGCAGGAAGCTGAGGCAGCCAGTTTGGGGGACGGTGAATTTGCCCCCCTGGGGCCCACACAGTCAGTGCTCTCTGCACTCAGTTCATTCCTTTAAGCAAATGCTCTGGAAACGCACAGTGATAGTGGTAGATGTGGGATACTTGCCAGAGGCCGAGAGCAATCTGAGTTTTCCGGTGTCATGTCTGCATTTAGGAAAGAGTAAGTCAGTGTCTCAGAGGAGGCAGGGGCGACAGTTTCAGATCTGCCTGCAGAATGCTGATCTTCCATTTTAGGGAAGGCTTTATACTGTTTCTTTTCTTTACAGAATGAAGTTGGCCTACTGGAGTTCTTCCAAAATGTGATAAAAGAAACTAGGGCAGAGCCCAAAACGGTGACCAGTTGGGTCCTCAACACTTTCCTGGGTTCTTTAAAGCAACGGAACCTTGCTGTTAGTGAGAGGTGAGTGGGGTCTGAGCTGTCTTTCCTCCTTTATGATGAATGTTTTGCCCAGAGTGGATGAAATAGGACAGGGCTCATTTTCTGTTTCCCCTGTGCCCCCTTAGGCTGTTCTGGTGAGACACAAGCAACCCTTGTGAATTCCTGATTCTAAGGCTATCCTCCATCATGTCTGGTGAAGAACTGGAGGGTTTTAGCTCAGGGAGGAGCACAGCTGGTAGGAGCAGCGGGTGGACAGAGCAGGAAAATGCACTGACTATGTAAGTGGAGCTAGAAAGTGGAGGGTGAACAGGAGAGCTCTAGGGGTGAACAGGCCTGTCCTCAGAGGTCCTCTGTCTCCTGGGGAGGACTCTATTTGTGCATCAGTGTATTCATGCGCCATCTTTATTGGTAAAACTAAGAATCCAGGCAGAAGCAAGTGACTGCAAAATTGGTTGAAGGTTTTTGGACTGCGGGAGACCTGAGTGTTCGTAAAGGTGTGATGTTAATGCCACAGGAGGCGGGAGGTAGATCTGAGTGGGATCCCAGGAGTGGAAAGTGATGGGATTAAGAGTGAGGCACCATAGAAAATTCTGAATCTTGCACCAGCTGATGTCCTGATGAAGTAGGAGGTGCAGGTGTGAGCTGAGAAGGGGCATGGACAGTAGCTTGGGGGTGGGTAGGAGTGCTAAGAAATTATTGAGATGAGCAAAATGTTTATTGAGCAGCAAGAGCCACCAGGAAGTCCAAGTCCTTGTGTCTTCCTCCAGGAATTTCTGGTGTCCCATTTTAACAAAAGCAGTGAAAGTGGGCTTTGGGCCCCTGATGACCTTGGGGGTTAAGATAGGCAGCATTTTTCACAGAGGGGGGCAGGGACATGGTTGCAGATGTCAGGGTATCTACTCCTGGAATCCAAGCCAGAGCTGGGGCTATAATCTTGAAAGACAATAAAAGCCCAAATGAAATTCAGAGAATAAGTGACCCATCCCCCTCCTGTAAGCTTAGAGACACACATAAAACTTACACCGTGGGTGTCAGATTCTTCTTTAGTAGAGACACAGTCACTGTCCATAAGCCAGTGTTACCTGGTAGCAAAAAAATTAGTGGCTTGTGCTTCTGCTGTCATTCTATTTCCCAATCCTATGGTTTATTTAACTGATGAGTGGGGCCTTCCGGGGTCATTGTGACAGATACTGATCTCGATGACCTTCTTCTTGGAGGTCAGCACTGGCCTATCCGGAAGCAGTGTAGACACTATACCAGATAGCCCTCCTTGGTGGTGGGAGGAATTCTGTAATGCAATTATTGGCCTCCTGTGCGTCAAACATTGTGGCTACGAGCAAGATTGAGAAATCCCAAATGCTAGTAGGCCAGTGGAGATCATTTATAGTGTATATTTATGACCTGACTAACAAATTAAGGTCAATTAGGTGAAAAAGTCTTTTTAGTTATGTTGTGTTTCTGTCTCCTGTGTCCTCACGTCCCTCCTGTCACCCACTGTATGGGAGCAGGGCTCCCCTCTTTTGCTCTAGAAATGTAGTTCAACTTCAGTATAATGGGTCTTACACACAGTCCACACTCTAGTTGGCCTGGTACTTTCTAGAATTGCAGAGCAGCCACAAAACCTGCAGTTTTAAGAAATCCACTTCCTTTTGATTTGTCAGTCTGGGTGGGAAGTTGGGAAAAGGTTACCTCTTTATTTCCCAGCCCTCTGCCCCTTTCCTGTTGCAGTGTCGTCAGGGTGGTTCCCAGGTACTCTGGATGGGACCTTAATAGCACAGATATTCTCCAAACCTAATTCGCACTCAGAACTGCCTGTCTCTATACTTTGGAATAAACAAACACCCTGGACCATGGGCCGCCTCGGTGTGTCACCTGTTTTGAATTAATAGCCCTAATGAGGTTTCACTGTACTTGAATCTGAGTGCAGTAACTCAGGCCTGGTAAACTTACACTCTCTGTTGGTTTGGAATTCATGGAAATTGGCATAGGGACTAAATGGTAGTTTCTTTTTTATTATCTAAGAGCTTGCAAGGAAATTAATAGTGAATGATCAGCACTGAGATTTAAACAGAAGGTGTTTTCCAGTGGCATTAAACATTTCAAAAGCTTTCATTTACAGACACACTAACGTGCTATTTTTAAGTCATTCCTATCTATTTAAAACTAGTCCCCCAGTGACCTCAGACAGACAGCGTTTCATTAGCCTCGTTGCTGTATGTCTTTAAGAGCAGGAAAACCACCTATTTTAAAAGAGAGAGTCTGTAATTCAGTCTTGACTTTCCACTAATCTAGTTGCTCCCCCCACAGTCCCTGCCCCTGAGTGTGAATTAATGACTCTTCATGTGTCTGGTTGCACCTTGGCATTTACTATCATGGGATCTTGGCAAATGAGTCACATCCTAGAAGTTGAGATGTAATGCATCCTGGGCTCCTGTGTGTCCAGAAAGGACTCTTGAGCCTGCAGGAATGAACAGTGTGGAGATGCCCACGAGCACGCTGAAGACGTGGCTGATAGTCATTAAAGACAAGCTTGTACAATTGAAAAGAATTTATATTTGCACAGAAGCACTCAGAAAAGTGACTTTGTTAGCAATTTTGCTTGGAGTGATTTCAGGCTGATCTTTCCGTGGGAAGTATTTAATTACTGGCTTGGTTTTTCCCCTTTTTTCCCATCATGGCTCATGAATTTTGCAGCCACCTCCTTTTTTTTTTTTTGACTAATTAAACTGAGCAGTTGTGTGTTGCTACAACTTCTGCCAAACACCTGCTCTTGTTGGGTGGTAAAATAAAGAAAAACAACAGTAGTCACAAAAACGTGAGAACCTAAAAACAAAATACATAAATCGAGCCCAGTTGGCCTATTACCTTCACTTGTAGGTGTGGGTTTAAGTTTGTAAATCCACGACTCAAGTGCTCTGAATGACCATCGAGGATCTGCTGACAGGATGAAACATGATTTCTTTTCTCTCCCTCTCGGGGCTGCTAGTCCTATCGTGCCTTCTGCACTGGCCGAGCTGCTCGACCTGCTGGACAGGAAAGCCATCTCTTCAGCCGCCGCCAGACAGGTATGTCTACGCTTCCTGAAGCTTCTGACTGCTCCACTCTCAGCCCAGAGCTTCTGTGTGACACATGTGCCATCCCTCAGTGGATCTCATAATTGAAGTATTAAATGCTTATAAGTGCCACTTTTATACTGAAAGGTAGGAACATTTCATTTAGCAAATGAAATAAAGCCAGTAGGTGCAGTGCAGGTATCTGCTTCTCATCTCGGCTAGCCAGGGGGAATGCTTTCTGTTTGGCTTTTGTCAGAATGTTTCCCAAGCATTTGTTTATGTAAAAGACAGCCCATGGGGGCTTCGGTCTCCTTGTGCTTCTCTACCCTCTGGCGCCTCTCTCTGCAGCCCCAGCCAGTGCCAGGCGCCTGTTCGTCCTTGTGGAGTGCTGGCAAGGAGGGTGAGGCAGCTTAGCAGATGATATTTCACACACGTGCCCAGTGAAAACTCAGAAAAGTAGGGTCATCATCAGAGGTGGCCTCTGCCTCAGCTCCACCTCCACCTACCAATCTTAGGGGACTGAAAGATTCCTGGAACTCGGTAAACTCTTACAAACCAGTTTCCAGAAAGATGAGGAACACCAAGGCACCACCTGATCTCAGCTTCAGCTACTGGGGCTGTCAAGGCTTCAGCCAGAAACTTAATGTTATTTTAATGGTGCCTTTTGCATTTAATATTTATACACATCGACAGCAGTGGCAGGTTACAAAGTGAGGCTTTGGAAAAGCGAGTGCTGGTGGCTAATTATGAGACAACATGGAGCAAACGCTGCTCTGTGCAGTGAGACTGGAGACAGGAAGTAATAAGGGCTCTGTTTACCCGCCACCAAGTGAGGCTGTCACCTACAGGGATCACGCCACATTTAGGAAAGGATTTTGGTTGCCTGCATGTCAGAAGAATACAAATGTTTATGACAATGCTCAGCAATAGCAGAAAGATTGGCTGGCCTGAGGGCAGGAAAAACTATATGTGTACATAAAAGCAGATGAACTGTAGCAGTTGAAATGAAAGGGAAAAAAATCTTCCTCCTTCCTACTCATCCTGCCCCACCAGAAAGAGGAAAAAAAAAATCCTAATGCAGTGAATATGAAAGTTTCAGTGGCAGGAAGGGATGAAAACTGCTGGGGGCTGCTGGCAGCTGGTTCAGATACAGATGGAGACACCTTTGGATTCTATCACCTGCCGGGTGCATCCCGGCTTCTGGGATAGTTAGTTGGGGCCACCCAACTAACATAACAGTCTGATTAGAAAGGAGACGAAGGTCTATAGCTACATAAGGGAACCTTGGTTCCGCCACTGCCTGGGGGCTCCTGCCTCTCTATTTTTCTACTTTTTTAAGAAAATCACTTACTGATTTTCTGGTTAAAAAAAAATTACATTTGTTCATTATAAAGAATTTAAGCAGTACAGAAAAATATAAAGATTTCTGAATTCCACCACCTTGACAAAACCACCGTTCATATTGGATGAAAATTCCAGGCATGTCATATGTTTATGCCACTAGAAGAATGGTTTGATGGGATGGGACGATGTGACGACAGAGAAATACTTCCGTTAGAGTGTCCTTTTGTTTTTGACCAAATGTACAGTTCATTGGTTTTTAATATATTTACAGTGTTGTACAGCCATCATCACTATCTAATTGCAGAACATTTTCAGCACCCCAAAAAACAAACTCCCCACCCATTAGCAGTCACTCCCCATTAACTCTGTGCCCTAGGCAACCACAATTCTACTCTCTCTGGATTTGCCCGCTCTGGACATTTCACATAAATGGACTCATACAGCTTTGTGGCCTTTGCGTCTGCCTAAGGTTTTCAAAGTCTCAGCATAAGGTTTTCAAAGTCTATCCCTGATGGGACACGCATTGGTATTCCATTGCTTTTAATGGCTGAAGAATATTCCATTGTATGGATACACACCACCTTTTGTCTATCCATTCATCAATAAATGGTCATCTGAGATGTTTCCAAATTTGGGCTATTAGGAATAATGCTGCTTTGCACATTTGTGCACAAGTTTTTGTGTGAGCGTATGTTTTCAAATTTCCTGGATGTAAAAATGGAGCTACTGGATCATATGGTAATTTTAATTTAATATTTCGAGGAACCGCCAGACGGCACCATTTTACAATCCCTGAGCGACGAATGAGGGTTCCACCCCCCCACACACCCTCACAGCACTTGTCTTGTTCATGTTTTTTATTGTCAGCGTCTTTGTAGGTATAAAGTGATATCTCACTGTGGATTTTATTTGCATTTTCCTAATGACTAATTACATCGAGCATCTGCGTCTTAATTTTTATAGTGTATTTTTTTCAAGAAAAAATGTGTTACAATTCATCACTACTGAATTTAACAGAAGTATCCAGTACTGCTGTTACTTCTGCTACTTCAGTAGCCCTTGGGTTTAGACCCCCTGCGAGCGAGAGTGGCCCAGGCAGAACAGAGACTCCAGGGCCTATGGGGCGCTTCCTCTGACAGAAGCATCACCACAGTGATGGAGGACCAAGGGGTGGGGAGGAAAGTCAGCCAGTAACTGTCCCTCAGGGTAACAGGTACGCAGAAAGAATCGTCCTGTCCTGAGAACATTCAGAATTCCAAAGACTCTCCCACTTTATTCTAATTCGTCCTTGATCCATCTCTACCGTGTCGCCCTCACAGCATCACCTATGATGTTCATTCATTACGCATCTCCCTGCACCTTCCTCCCAGGTGTCCCCAAGGCTTCTGAGAGGGACAGCCTCCTCCCTTTAACACCCTTGGGTCTGGGCCTCCCTGGTGGCGCAGGCGGTTGAGCGCAGCGCTGCGAAGCTGTCCGCAGCCTCTGCAGCGCGGGTTCAATCCCTGCCAGCCGCAGAGCAACCCACATGGCGCAGCAGACCTCTCCTGTCTCGCCCGCTGCTCCCCTCAGCAGTGTACTTCGGTCAGTCTGCCTGTTCTGCTCCCCACTCTGTCTCTGGTGAATCCTCTCACCCTCCCGCATGTCTGGCCTGTACCCCGGTTCTTGTATAAATAAACAAAATCTTTAAAAAAAAAAACAAAAAACCCTGGGTCCAGAAGAATGACGAGGTGGCTGCCATGAAGCAGCGCTGTTTTTCAGAAACACGAAAAGAAATTCAAAGATTCTGTGTTATTAGGACAACAGGAGACAGAGCATCAGCATTGCTTGCACAAGGCCAGTTCTATTTGTGGAAGGAGAGGTGGCAGCCTGCCTCCTCCCCTCCCCAAGGACCAGCAGACTCCCAGTGTCAAGGGCACAGCTCCCCGGTAGCTAACATCCCGGGAGCCCCAGTGACTGAGGGGAAAACCGTGCAGGGCGTGAGTGGTTCCCCTTGTGCGGAGATGGTGGGCAGACCCGCTCTTCAGGGATTGTCTGGTGAGTGTTTTCCATTGGAACGGGGCCAGATTGGGGCTCCGGAAAGATGGAAATCACATTTCCACATGCAATGTGCCATCTAACCAATTTCCTCTTGTCGACTTTGGAGTCTGCTTCAAACAGAAATCACCCCAAACCATTTAATGTGGAAAACATTCTATGTCATACAGTAAAACTGTGTCGCGAATGATACTTGATGCCTTTTACTCCATTCTAGTGCTTCTGCTCCTCGCACATTTACCGTGCCCTGCTGCTTTAGGGGCGTGGTGTCCATGTTTTGTGCTTTCTAGAATGATCTCACCCAGTAATTTGCCTTTGGCCAGAGGGGGCGCCCCTCTCTGAAACTGCCACGGCTCCCGCCTGCCATCTCCTGTGAACTGGTCTTTCCTCCACACTCTCCCCCTGAACATGCCAGCTCAGGCAGCGACAGGGTAGGGACCTGCCTGCTCTTCTCCCTCCCCGTCACCCTTCTTTCCAGATGTTTTAAAAATAGCTTTAGCCAGAGAAAGGTTGGGTAGCAGTGGAAGCGGCCCGTGACTTGGGTCCCCTGTGTCAGAACTGGCGGTCGGTGTGGTTGGGGGTTCCCGTCATACCGTATGAGTGGCTCTGAGGAACTCGGAGGACCAGCCCGGCACAGAATCCCGCTACGTGTGCGTGTGTGACGGGGGACAGCAGGTCCTAGCAGCGTCACCCCGCCCAGCCAGGAATAGTCGCACCAGGATAGCACTTGCTAGGGTGGCAGGTAAAAACAGAGAAAAGCCGAGAATTTGTACCGCAAGGAGACTGCCGCCACTGAGGCCACGATGTTTGCAGTGAGAGGGCCACAGGAACCCCCGGAGCCCGCCTGGAGTTGGCTCTCCCCCCTCAGCAGCAGCCACCCTGCTGGCATGGAGCTGAGAGGCACCGTCTGTGTCCTAAATAGTGGGGGGCGGAGGGCTGGACAGCTGGAGCCCAGTGCTGCCCCGGGAGCTGGGTCTGGGCTAATGGCTTCTAACTCGGAGAACAGAGAACCCTGCAGCCACCGGCTTCCCGTCTGTTGCTTGAGGCCGCAGGAATGTTTCTCTGACCTTGCAGCTATGCACCCCTAACGCTCTGCCCCACTTTCTCAGGGAGCATCCAGCCTCCTCTCCCTCCGCATTTCAAAGCATCCCCCCTAGCTCTGTGTTGAGTCTCTTGAGCAATGTGGTTTGGCAGGAATCCCCGCCTGCCCGACAAGGCCAACGTTCAGGCGTCTGGACAAACGAAGGCGAACCCAGCCAGCCTTGTGCCTGCGGGTCCCAGCTGCTGGGGGCCAGGGACAGACCACCCAGGTGTGCCCTGTGCTTGCAGCCCAGCCCCGGCCGTGCGCCCCCGTAGTTCCTGTGGAGAGTTACTATGTGGATGCTTTATGAACAAGACCTTTCTGTTCTGAGCCAGAGATCGGATTTCCTGAGAGCTCCACTCTGGTCCCGAATGTTCGACATGTTCAGCCAGCACTTCTGCAGACGACGCCGACCAGCAAACACTGGTCAAAGTCAAAATACCTACCAGTGAGGGAAGCTGAATTAAATTCCTATTAATATAGCTGATGGGTATTAGGGGTAATTCCTGTAAGAAGCTGACTGTGCAGTAGGTGGAACAAAAGCCGGAACAAATCATTTCTAGGTCATGATCGCAAATGTTACAAAACAAGAAGATGGAAAATGACTCACCCTGGTTGTCTTGAGATGGGCCTACAGGTGCCTTCTTTTTATCTTGTCTGTAGTTCCTTATTTGCTCGGTGAGCAGCCATGATTAACCTTTATCATTGCAAAGTTTTGTAAAATTTTCAGCGTAAATTCAGAGAAACATCAGCCTCGCTCTGGCAGCCCCCCAAGTTCCATGCGCATTGCAGATGGGTCTGTCCCACAGTTTCTGCGCAGCTGACACCCCACTGATGTTTATTGCGGGCAGGAAAGTTCTTACCTGCCTCTGTGCCCCTCCCGTGAGGCCTTACTCACTGTCAGGCAGAATAAGGATTTGAGTTGCTGAGGTGGAGGCATGTGGGTTCAGTCTTTTTCTAAGAGCAGAGGGACAGGTTTTCCCCAAGCAGCCAGGGGCTGTGCGGTGGCAGCCTGGGGGCTCCCCCACAGGGCAATCAACGGAAGCTCCTGCCAAATCCGCCTGCGTCCCGTGTCGAGGCATGGTCTGGTGGTGATCACGGGGTGGAGCTGAAGGCACACTGCCGCTGGGGGCCACGACACCTGCTTGGTGGATCCAGACTAGGAAAGACTGCCCTGCGCAAGCTCCCGGCAGCCGCCCCTTCCTTAGCTTTGTTGTGTGCTCGCCATTGCCCGGCTGTTTCTCCCAGAGGAGTGGCGCCTGGCCGGCCCTCAGGGGGTGGCCATCGCGAGAGTTCAGGGCCCAGGCCCAGGCAGACTGAGCTGAGGAGGGGCCCAGGGGGCTGAGTGATGGAAGCCCCTCCTAACTTATGCTAGAATGATGGGGAGCAGGAACAACCCCCAGGAAACACCTTCTTTGAAAATGTTTTCTTTTTTCCAAGTTTGATAAGTTTGGCGCATTGTTATCATTTTTTAAGTAGAAACACACACACCATTAACTGTTAGTTATCCTAACCGGCCGCAGGTCCAGCTTCCTACCCAGCTGTAGGGGATACAGGTGGTGGCCAGGGACCCTGGGGATTGGGATTTGCATTTTTAAGTGTTTTCCTTTTGGTATTTTCACCATAGTCACTTTCTTGCCTCCCTGAAGCCATGTTCCCCTGCAGGACCCGTTTTCTGGACCTCAGCTAAGAGCAGTGGCCACCTCCTGCGGGCTGTGTGGCCCTGTCCTCCACCAAAATGTCACCTCACTTCATGAATTCACCAGCTCCCAGATAGAGCCCTGCCTGGCCATGACTCCCCTCAGCAGGGGCCTGTGAGGTTCCAGCCTCCCCAGTGCCCCTGGGCCTTGCAGAGTTTGGGTGAGCAGGGAGGCCCCTCCATCTTACAAGACAAGAGTTATGCTGTGAGGGAGCAGCTCAGCATGGGGAGACTCTGGGTGTGTCCAGAACCCTCCGGAACAGCTTATTCTGGATGCTTCCAGAGAGGTGGGGCTCTGGGCAGGCCCACCCAGCTAGGAGCTCATTTGCTGTTCTCACAGGAGCACGTGGAGCTGGCTGAAGAGCCCACCGCTGGCTTCTCTCTCCCTCTCCCCCTCTGACTGTAGGTGTTTGAGGAACTGTGGCAGAGTGAAGGGAAGACGCCGGCGCAGATTGTTTCAGAGAAGCAGCTTGAGCTGATGCAGGATCGAGAGGCCCTGGAGCAGCTCTGCCGTGCCACGCTGGAGAGCCATCCTCAAACGGTGACTGTCACAGGCCAGTGGTAGGCGAGCATGCTCGGGGCAGGATCACCGTCGATCGGGCAGAGAGAGTCCAGGCGCCCTCAGTAGATTTTTCAGGCTTTCGTGCTCTCAGGGAACCAGGCACACCAGGCAGGGAAGCTGGCGTGCAAGGAGGCAGGCCCGGGTTGGGCAGGGGTGCTGGGAGGCAGGCAGGCAGCTGAGCGTCCCAGCCCTCCGCGAGTCGGTACGCTTTCTCTAGGCGCCCTGTTGTTCTCTCATAGTCTCGCCTCTTGTACTCACACTTCGTCTCGTAGCGGTCCTCTGCCTCTCAGTGATGCCGCCCTTATATCCCGCTGGCCTCTGGGCTCAGGTGTGCACCCTTACGCATGCCCCCACCATACTCCAGGTGTCCACAATCAGCTCACGTGCCCGGTGCCCACACTCCCGAGTGCCTTCTGCGTAGCACAGTCAAGGCCGAAGGCGACAGCCACAGAGGCTAGTGGCGCCACAGCCTGATGAATCACTTACCCTACCGCCGGGGACGAGGGACTTCAGGGCAGCCAGAGTCAGGGGCTGCCTGCAGGCCGGCCGAGGACCTCCCGGAGCCGCCGCTATTCCCCACTCACCTCGGAGGCCCTTTCTAATAATGGCTGGCCCCGTTTTGTCAGCAATATCCTAATTATTTCTGTCAGTTTTCAGGTAAGGTTGGGAAGGAAACTGGTGAATGTTGAAAAGTACAGCTTTCCCCAGAACCCTGCCCTGGCGCTGCCATCATGAGGGCCATCCTCAAGGCCCCCGCATCCGGGTTCCGACCCCAGGCAGGGCCCCTCTCCCGGGGCCAGCGTGTTCTGCCTCGGGGGGGGCCCTACTCTGTAGGGAGGATCTCTCAGTAAAAAGCCAACAGGCGTGACTGCATCGGGGGAAAAGGGAAGCAGACACTTTAGCTTCGTGTCTTTAGAGGTGAGAAGAAAAGCAGAAGGGAAAATTATTTGTGAATTACGGAGAAACTCCTTGACAGCACAGCTGAAAACCAAGTCATTCTGTGCTCCGAACGTGGAGCAAAACAGAAAAGCTGAAGTCAGTCTCCCCCCAAGTCTCATCATACTGTCTAGAGAGATTTTTCAACGGGGGAAAAAATGGCTGGCGTCTCTTTCAGAGGAACACCCACCCACCCCGCAGCTCGCCGGGCACTCACAGCTGTGACGCGCTCCCGATGAGGAGAGCGAGCTGGCAATGCGGTCGTGCAGGCGCCGTGCGCGGCTTCACCCGTGTGCCTGACCCGGACACGCTTAGCTCCGACTTTTCTGTGCTCCTGGGCACGGCCCCTCACGGCGGTTACCGCGCATCACAACACTGCAGCGGCTGTTTGCAGGGCACCCCCGCCGCCTGCCTCTGCCCTCCCCACCCAGCACCGGCAGCTCGGCCCCGCACGCCCGCCCGCCCGTGCTCGGAGTCGCCGTCCTGCTGACTGGTTTTCTAGTAAAGGGCTCTTCTGGGCAGGAGTGGGGCAGGAAACCACCGGGATTCAGGGCCTGCTGAGCACCCCTTCGCTGAGCACAGGCCTGACTATTCCTGGGAGGGAGGAGGCGCCCCTCATTCGAGGCCGGGGAAGCGCCGTGTCCTCCTGTCACTGTCACTGTGGTGCCAGCTTCGCTGCAGCGCTCAGGCCTGACGCAGCACCAGCGCCCCTTGTCCATTTTAATCAGGTGGCAGAGCAGACACAGCTCCTCCGACAGGAGCCTCGAAACCTCCTCCGAAGCCCACCGCTTCCCCTTTTTTCCTTTTCTCACTTTATTTCTAATAGAAAAAAAAATGTTAAGTCCATGTAAACCCTCATTTAGGATCTTGAGGTTTGACTCTCTTTGTTTTCTCCTCTAAAACATCGTTAAAGGTAATGGATGTGAAGAAGGGAAACCCTCGAGCTATAAACAAACTCATCGGGTTCGCCCGAAAAGCCACTCTCAACCGAGCAGACCCGCGGGCCATCAAGGAGATCCTGGAGCAGCAGCTGTCGTCAGGAGACGCGCCGGGTCCTCGCAGCACAGCGCAGCAGCACGGGAGTGGAGCCGGAGCCCCTACCCCGAGCCCTCGGCCGCACTGAACCCTTGCATCTGATTCCCCTTCCACCCCCTGCCGTCCACATGGCTCCTCCATGAGGGCAGGAGATGGCTGTGGCCGGTGGCTAGGAGACGGCACCTTTGGGGCTTAGTGGCTCTGAACAGACCACCGGGCATAGCCTTCCCCTGCCTACGCAAGCTCTGCAGCCCGGCTTCCTTCCACAAATAGTGTGAGCACGTCCAAGGAACCGGCTTTGTTCTAGATGCTGGGGCTGAGCCGTGATGAAGAGACAGCAGTGCCTTAGACCCGAACACAGGTTCATCCGGATCCGATGACAGCGCAAGAGGAGAGAGCGTGAGCACGCGCGTTAGGGGTCTCATGAGGGTGGGAGGGGCTGATATTTGCCCACCCCCGTGTGAGGAGGCCCTTCAGCGCCCTTGGGATCCCACAGCAGACGTCTGATAATTTTGTGTGCGTGAAAAAAGATGACAAAGTTTTCAAATAAATTTAATGAATAAAATATATACTGAATATCACATAAAAAATTAACTTACACTTCAAAGATTGTGCAGTTGACAACTCCCCCGCCCCATCCTGGGGTCAAAAAAAGAGAAAAAGAGAAAAAGCTGTAACATTAAATTGATTTGTTTTGCCCGGAAAAAATGAGATGATAAACTAGTAAATCAAAGTGTTGACCTTTAACAGTAGTTGTGGTGCCGTCAACAGTCTCCGTGACGGCTGGGTGGCCTTCACCCCGTTCTCATGACAGTAATACTGCTCCTCTGTCACACGGGTGCCCTTGCTGCTCACACCCTTTGTGACCTCTGACTCCCAATGCTTAAGGACCGATTTTGCAGAGATAGTTTTTTAAAAAAAGCTCATCTCGAATAAATGGTGCATAAGCAAGGGAACCAAGTCATTGGCGGCCCTGATTTTACACTGAATCCTCCAGACAAAGTGGAGGCAGCTCCATCATGAATGGTGTTCCCTGGCAGCTGGGAAACATGAGGAAATGGGGCTCCCCCGTCGCCCGTCCAGCAACCGCTGCGTCCCGGGCTGTAGGCAATTGCTGGGAACGTCCTTAAGACAGTAACAGAAGTGTCCCCTGTCCCCGCCAAAACCAGAAAAGAAGCCAGTTGGGTGAGAAGTAAGGCTTAAAGAAAGATGAATTTTGCGAAATTAGTGACTGAATTCTAAGAGAATAAGTTACATCACCCAGGAAACCATGTGCCCTGGAATCCGCTGCAATACTAAAAACGACTGGGCCTAAAATTAAAATATTTCCATTTTTTCTCTCCTCACTCTGAAAGTCTGTGAATTACATACAGGCAAAGGCCGTCTCAGATTGGAACCTGGGGGGGAACATTATTTTGTAAGAAATAATAATGTTTAATTTTACAAAGCCCATTTTCACCAAAGATCTGGCTTCTTACTCATTCAACTTTACAGAAAGCATGCAAGGACCTTACTAGAGCATTTCAATCAAGGATATACCTAAAATGGGGGTAGGGGAAGACCAGGGGGACAGCCAGATAAAGAGTCAATAAGACTATTATGTCAAGTGTAAACTGTACTATGGAGTGAGCATTTTGGGAGGAAAATGCTGTTGTCGAAAGACTTGATCTCTACAATGCTGATGTCCAGCTACACCAATTGCCTGTTGTCTTGAAGGCCCATTTCCAAAATCCCAAAAATCAGACAGTTAGGTTGTTAAAACTGCTAACAGGACCAAAAAGTAAAAAAACAAACCACAGCTAAGGTACTTTACTTGGAACCTGACTAGATTTTTTGGAAAAATGTTTACATAACACCCTAGGAAATTCACAAAGTAGGGCTCTGCTTGGTGAAATACAATTTTAAATACATCTTTGCATGCATGTGGACTTAGCCTGGTTCTTTGCTATTCGGGGGAAATCTCATTAAAAGACCACACCATAGGTGAGGCCACTGGGGTGGGGAGTGTGAGGGTGGGATTTGCTGGAAAGCTGGCTCCCCCCAGGTCAGCCTGAACCCACTCTGCTCTGTTGCTAAGGATGTCGGCTGGTTCTGGCTGCAGAGCAGGACATCCCCCTCAGCAAGCCACCTGGTACAGCGTGAGTATTCAGTAAAAGTTAAATTTCTAAAGCAAAATTAAGGGCAGCCTTTTGTTTGCATGTGAGGCTGGTGTTGCCAGGTTCTGGGTGTCTGGGTCTCGGAAGGAGCTTCTTAGGCTTACACGTCAAGGCAAACTTGCGTGCCTACATTTCAAGGTGTAGCTGGCCCAGGAAAAAGAACATGGACCATTATTCATACCAAATTACAGATATTTTAGCTGAGCTCCCTCCCTTTTATTGTGCTTACTGCTAATCTGGAAGAAGGCTATAGAATTTTGAATATGGACACACTCCTAGAACTTGGAATTGGCTAATTCAATTATATAGTTCATGGCTATGACCCACAATTTACATTTTTTCATTTCAGTTGAATTTAGCTGCACCGTTTCCAGGATTCTACATAATGAGTATTACCAACAGCAGCGTGCAAGGGCTGCTGGCCTTCTTCAGCAGATTTTAGACAAATGCACTTTCAGATTATTTGTGAACAGAGCTGGCCCTACACTGTGATCATTTAAGTAAAATCATCACCAAGTTCCTTCTTTTAAAATACCTCCAGGGCGAAAAAAGGGCCTTGTTATAGAGGGTAGGCTGTTTGTACACTTTGCCCAATAAAAAGCCAGCAGATGAGCTGAAAAGCAGAGATGTCTGCAGTTGCAGCTCCATGAAATTTATATCAAGCCTAGGAGCTTCCAACTCCCAGGTCAGGTGCTGAAATGACATGGTAATTTGAAGCTCCCCAAAAGATGCCTGGAATTCCTATCAATTTTATGCTGACAGTCTTGTTATTCATGTGGGTGACAGTGAGTCAGGTTTACTCATAAGATAGGGAACAAAACTCACAGTGACCTGTGGGACAGAAAGGGTCAGTTCTAGCAAAACCACCCTCCTCTTGAGCACAAAAGCCAAAGAACAGCAGGCTCCCCCCACCTGGCTGCTGACCTCCTTTCCCCTAGAAAATGTCCCCCCCCCCCAAAATCTTTCACTGTCTCTCCAGTTCATCAGCCACCAGGATGATCTGTCCTCCAAAAGAAGTAATGGCTAGTAAACGCCTGAACGTAGAGGGTTTTCAGAGGCAAAATTATCCTAAAAACAATTCTTAATCTTTCAAGAGCTCTTTGTGAAGCATTAGGTTTATGATGGTCATTCAGAAAACAAGGGGTGAGGAAGCCAACTCCTCAATGACAGGATTTCAGTAATGAAGTTAAACTGGCTTGACGGCGTTAGTTTTAAGCTGTTCCTTGATGGAAAATTAGTGTCCTGTGATTTACACTCTGCCAGTGGAGGCAAGAAGGGACCCGAAACTGTCTTCTTAATGGCTTAGAGCGGGTGGGGCCTCAGCTCCCAGAGGACCCCGTTTCCAGGAAGAGTAGACTGCAGAGCTGGCCAGGAGTCACACCAAGTCACAAATCACAGCAGCCTGGGTCAGCGACGGAGCAGCACATGCACTAGCAGCCGCCCTACCAGAGAGGGCTCCGTAACAATGGCCAGAGGACAGCCATCGCGGTAAACGGGGCGGGTAATTAGCAGCTAAACTGAACTGCCCTGGAACGAGAACCAGAGTGAATGCTGCCCAGTGTAACTTCACCCCCACCCCCAACCCACCCCAGAGAGAGCAGCACGTCCCCACAAAAGCCACTAGGGCACACTGATCCGGATTCAGCGGGGCAGCCCCTCCACAACCCCAATACTCTAAAGGGGTCTGGTAATCGGCTGTCAAGCTGGTCCGGGACATCTTCCAACCCTGAGAAATGGGAGGCCCAAATGGAACAGGCAACCCAAATATTAACGTCTCCCCTTCTTGTCCCAAGAGGATGCTTTCCCCGACAACACCCTGGCCTCGTGATGTCTTCTTGGGCTGAAAATCACTACATCTGACCTAAATAAAAGCCACCTGCTAAGGATCCATTCTTCAGGACCCATAAAGAACTGAAGGCACCCTCCCGACACGTGATGGAGATACCAGTTCCAACCTGGTGCTCCGCGGTGTTTCCCGAAGAATCCCAAGTAAAGTGGGGCATGTGCCATGAGTCCTGTAAACCCCGGGAGGAGAGTACCTGTTGCTAAAATCACATTTCTACTTAACTGCGCCACCATCCCCGTGTCATGGCAGGAAAATTGTTCATTTACCCCCATGAAATGTATTTTAGGCTAAACTCAACCTAAAATTTCTTTAACATTTTAAAAACATTTACTTAGCCATTTCCAAAAGCCAGTATTAACTATCCCGGGGCGGTGAGCCACAAACTCAGTCTTATGAATGGAGGTTGATGCTGTGACATTCCAGGAGCCCCTGACTCGCCTTCCTGCCCGGACCATCAGTCAAGCCACGGCAGTGCCACCCTCAGGGACAGAGCCAAAGGGCTATGCCCACTGTTGTCCAGCAAGCCTGGACTTGTCCCCTGAACTCTTCCACACGTATCCACAAGCAGGCCAGCTAGTTTTAATCGTCCTCCCCAACACACTGCAACAAATGGTATTTATAAGGGCCTCGCCTATTACCTTCTGGCTGGAATATTCTACTTCATTACCAGGATCTGTTTTCCCACTGAGGAACTCCTGTGTCAGTCACCTGCAGTACGGCCCCTTCCTATCTGCCTAGATCAGTGCCCCCCCAGCCCCTCAGGGCCTGTCTTCTCCTCCTGGAGCCTCAGATCTCTGCTGGTCTACCGCTGGCATGTCCACCCCCTGCCCTCAGCCACCCTCACCTAACCCACCTGCCGATGTCATTCAGCCACGAGGGTTTTCTGATTCTCTGTAATGTATTTCCAGGTCAGTTTTCTGATTTCATATTGAAAAACCCTGGACCTGAGGCTCCGTAGGAGGCAGCTGAGATGGATTCAGAACATGAGCCATTTCCACTTCCTAACAGGACATTAGGGAGGGCGATGAGTCATGTGGGTTTGCTCCCAGCACCCCACCCTGGGAGTGAAACTTCCCTGCCTCTCACCCCGAACCCTGGACATCTCGGTCTCCTGTAAAGTCAGTCTACCTCCGCACCTATTTCAAAAACACTTAAGTGTCTTCCTCAAATCAATCTCTTTCCCCGGGTACCTTCCACAGAGGACCGTGGCGCTCTGTCATAAAGCAACATGGACTCAGGAAGACTCGACACCGTCACCAGACCATGGAGAGAAGAGCAAATCACACTGCAAAGCTAAAGAATACCTTTTCCAGATGGGACTTCAGCATTTTACATTCTTGGTTAAGTCAAAACTGGAAGACAAATACTTGTGCAAAACAACGCTAGGGATAATAAATTACAGCCTACCTTCCAGCTCTCTGTTCCCCTTTCTCTCTTTTTACCTGAAGCCACCTGCTTGTCTAACGGAGACTGGCGGGTGGTGCCAATCCAGGTGAAGCCAGGCCTGCTGCTGCAACGCAGCTGGGCAAACCGGTTTTCTAGAACCCACGAATGTGAAGCGAGAAGTGTGGAAAGAATCAGTATCTTTGGCTTCTTGCTTAGACTCAGGCACCATGAGGCTGGCTCCTGAGAGTCACGCAGCCCAGGCACGTCTCCTGGGGTCTTCACGCCACGGCTGGCTGTTTCTCTCCACGCACAGCTGCTCCAAGATCCCTGGGACACAAAGGGTCAGCCTCTGCCCTGCAGGGTCTCCCAGATGCAGACCCTTCTGCCACGCCCCACCTGTGCTGGGAACACGACTGTGGCCACCCCGGTCAGCGCTCCTGAGGCACAGCCGCACCCGCGGACGCAGCTAGGCTCTGCGGGATGCCCCCCCACAGAATAGCTGGCTGGGGCTTCCAGCTTCCCTCCAAGTAAAGAGGCCCCTGCTTCCCACCTGCCCCCAGGGAAAAGAACTGAAAATCCTCCACTGTCAGTTGTCTGCGGGCTCCCTCTTCACCCGCAGTGACGCTGGGTGCTCCCCGTCTGGGTGGCGGACTGAGATCACCGCTTTCGGCGTGACTGCATCTCTCGGAGCAGGCTGAAAAGCAGCCGAGAGGGGCTAACACATCCTATGGGGCCTTCTCATGAACCCCATTACTCAGAAGGTAGGGTTTCTGTGCGCAGTGAGTCACCAGCAGGCGCTGGGCTGTGCAGGGCCCGCTCCCCGTGGCCTGTCTGCACCCACCCCAGCGCCCAGAGGGACCGACACCTCCTGTTTCTCTACAAAGTGCAACAGATTAGACGAAGCAAACACAAGTTAAAGTAATTACCAGTGTTTTTACAGGTTGCATTTAGTTTGCTTTCATCCTGTCCCCCCACACTCCACACTTACCCCCCCCAAAAAAAACCCACTATGAAATAGCTTCACAAATTAATGTGTTTGTTTTCCATAAAACAAAAAATAATGATGGCTGTCTTCTTCCACAAGTTACATGACACCCCACACTCTTCATCTGATCAAACTAAAAATACCGAAGTAACTGTGTGCATAGGTGTATTTCAGGTGCGGGCAAGTCTTACTAAAATAAGGCAACGTGCAGCGTGTAGGCAGTGATACACTGATTAAAGAAAGCTCTCAGGCAACCAGAAAAACTCCCCGCGTTCCAGATTCTGTCGGGCTCTATGGGACTTACAGGCGGCAGCTGGGACCGATGGACTTGCCTGCGCAGAAGGCCGCAGAACGCAAGTCTGCAGGAGACAACCCAAAGGAACGTATGACTTGGGCCCCACGCGCGTCGCCACACTCCCCTCTGTGCAGGGAAGCCAACATGCAGAAGGCAGCAGGAGCAGACACGTGTCCTTCACGTGCTGCTGAAGAGCCAGCCTCTGAGGGGGACACTCCCAGGAGCCGCTAAAGCCCAATATTCACATGGTGTGATCTAAGCTGCAAGGCGAGTGACTCAGGCGGGGGAGTAACAACCAGAAAACAGGAGGAGGGGAAACTGAGCAGAGGAGCCACCAGCTTATGAGACTTACATTCTGTACAACGTACGGTGGAAAGACCCGGCCAGAGAAGAGAGAGGAGGGAGGCAGAGAAGTCCCTCTCCACAAATCAAGTATTTTCAGGAAATATCAAAGTAGAAATTGTCGTAAGCAGCTTTGCATTAACATTCAGTCAAGATACTAAAACCTTAAAAAACAGGACCCTCTATTAAAAAAAAAAAAAAAACCAACAGCTAGCAACAATCCTCCAAGTCTCCCAGGATCTTGCAGCACAGAATGGAGTGCTCCTGGGCCAGGGCGGCCAGCTCCTTCAGGAACTCCGGGAAGAGGGCAGCGGCCAGCATGGTGTTCCTCACGGGCAGGGGCAGGCTGGGGGGCGCCCCGATCACTTTGGCTCTGTTTGTCAGGAAGGGCTGGAGCACTCTTGGGGGACCATCCAGAAGGTTCTTGCTGCTTCCAGTCCTGGAAGCCTCCTGAGTGGAATCTGGAACCAGAACGAAGACCGTCATGTGACCCCTCCAGGGCCGTGAAATTCACCCCACCTCTTGGGCGAAGTGCTGCTGGTGACACATTGGGTCAGGGGTTCAGGCCCTGTAAAGCCTGGTCTCAGGCACAGCCCTGAGCACACAGATCTGCCCGGCAGACACCCTCCAGCATAGGACGGGGTTTCATCTGAAAGCCTGTGTAAGGCTGTTTGTGCAGAAGTTGTGGCGAGAATCGGGTTATGAGACTCTTCCAGGCTCTGCTCCCTCCCTAGTTACTTAGGGATGTGTCCACTGTCTCAGCCTCCAGGGTTGGGGTGACAGTGACACCATGCTCACACCATGAGCTCCTGCTCCAGCCTCTGGGGCTCCCTGGTGACTGACTCGGCTAGCCAGGACCTCCCACTCTTTGCAGGAAACTGAGTGGGAGAAGACTTTGAAAGGTTGGGGAGAATGAGAGGAAGTCACCACACTGGGCCTCCCCACAACTGTGGGCATCTAGAGTCAGCACCAGGCATCTCGAGTCCTTCCATAATTCAAGGAAGGATTCCTGGGGGTTCAATGTCAGCTTCAGTGACATCGGTCTCTGAGCCCAAAATTTAACACATTCAAGAGATTTGCATGTTCATATCAAATCAGCTTTATTAATTTAAAGGGGCGACGTCCCTATTTAATTCTTGGACATCTCTAACCTTCATGTATTTATAAGAATTATGCATGCCTGCTATCCCCTACTCAAACTGCCTCATTACTCCTTATAAATCATTATATTCAAGCCCTTCGTTATTTTGGCTGCTTTTTAGAATTCAATCCCATTTTTCAACGCTCTTCTCAGAGTGTTGCTTAACTACGGTACTAAAAATTCTTGACATTTATAGTACTTTCCACATCTCACTACTATAGTCTTCAGTGTTAAAAAAAAATCCTCCACTTTACTGCTTTAAATATCCTAGATGAAAGCTTATCACAGCTCGTGCCATAAAGAACTAGAAAAGTTGGGACTCTAACTGTTGCTACCTTTCAGAGGAAATTCACACATGTGACGACAGGGTGTGGACCACAGAACTGACATCGCTGAGCCTATGCCAACTTGGAGCCCATCCCTCGCACCCCACCCGAACTCTGCAGCCCTGCCGCTCACAAAGGAAGCTGGCCTGGATGCCAGTGGGGACCGGGCACAAATCCCAGACCAAGTGCCACGCTGTTCCCGCTGCTCCCTCACTGGGGTGCCTTGGCCCATCTCTGCACACCGGGCCTTATTAGGCCTAAGAGGCACCGGGGTGAAGAGCCCAGACTCTGCCACTCATTGGCTGGTGAGATGGGGCACGTCACTGTACCTCTCTGGACTGTTATGTCCTCGTCTGTCAAAAGCTCTGAGAGCTCTTGTAAGGATTAAATGCTTCAGTAGGTGTAATGCACACAGGGACCGTTTGATAAGTGTGAGCCACCACAGCTTATCAATTCAGCCTACTGCACGGAGCACTTCCTGCTTCCTGCCTCTAGAAGTAACCCCTAGTCCAGCCTTCCACCCCACTTTAATTACCAACTAAGGCCTGCTCTGCCCTTTAGCCTTGCTATTTATGCTTTTTCCCTCCTACTAGCTTTGAGATTTCTAAGAGCTGGGCCTTCCAACTACCCCCCGCTTACCCCCCCACAACATACTCCCCGTAGTCACAGAACATAATCAACATTTGCTGAATGAAGGCAGGAAGGCAGGAACTGGCCAACATCAGGTCTTGCCTACACCAGAGCTCCCTGGAGCCACTTCAGTTCCTTCTCTCCATCTTTCTCTTTCAAATTCACTCCTCTGTCCCCCCTCAAAGGGCTTTTGTGCCTCATTTATCTAGCTCGATCCATGAATTTAAAGTGTCATTGCTGAGGCTCATTTACCCAGCTGGAATCCAACAATCAAAGCTGTTTTCACTAATAAAGGCAGGACCGCACTGAGGGAGGGAGACAAGGCCTGCTGGAGCATCCTTCAGTGTCTACTCTGCCCAGGGCTGGCCTGTTGGGGTCACAAAGCACCACTGTGCTCCCGACTCCAAAGTGAGGAGACCAAGCGGTGGTCCTCACTGGCAGCCAGCTAACAATGCCTCGGTTTCCTTTTCTGTAAGTGTCCTCCCTACTAGAGAGCAGTGAAAGGAAGGACTCTGAAAATATAAAGAAATGCAATCCCTGGTTTAAAAAGTATTCCAGGGGAAAATGAAAAGCTTGGTAAGTGGCTGAGCCTCAGAGACCAATAGCCACAAGGATTTGAAGATGGCGGCTGGCAAGAAGCCCACTGCTCGGCTCAGCAGCCACCGAGACTTCTGCTTCTGTCTGAAGCCTTAGTGGGGAGACTCGTTTTTCAGCAGGGCTGCCAGGAGCCCAGGGAACACAGGTACCTGCATGACTGAGCAGGTGGCTCTGGTGCCTGAGTTTGGGGTCCTGTAAAAGGGCTCAGCAAGTGCACAGAAGCGCTGGAGAGGACAGCAGGCAGTATGCGGGGCGGGGGAGATAAACGTCCCACTCAGGAGCGGCTCTCTCAAAAGCTGCCACTGAAGGTTTTCAAGACTAGCGCTGGGAAGATTTCAGAAGGTAGCAGAGAAATCCACGGCCCACTGATCACCTTGTCAGACTGTGAACCAAAGTGAGCAAAGTGAATGGCACACAGAAAATGGAGGCCCCAATATTTGGCCAAGCACCCGGGTTCCTATTTCCAAATCTCTACGTCCCGGGGAGAGCAACTCATGACGGGCTACCACGTTGCACGTGTGGCTTCTCAGCGCTTGCATGGCACGAACCCTTCTCACTCAGCGAGTTTAGAGCTGCTTGAAGTGGAGGGAGGGTGTCATTTTGCTACCCAGGGAGAAGTCAGAACCTCAATCTGAAAAATGCCATTAAAAGAAAGTCTTGTATCCTGAGACACTTCCTACAAGTCAGCGTCCCCTGAGTGCCACAGACGTCTGAAATTACCCACCACAGCTGAGTAACTGGACCAACTTGCACAGAGGAAACCAAGTCCCCAGGGCACATCCCTGGCAGCCAGGACAAAGCACAAGGCCAGAGGGGCCCCTGCACCTCTACTCCACCACTCTCACCCCTGTGGGTTAAGGGGCCCCTCGTCAAGGAGAGCATCAGAAGCCGGTCGGGGTAAGTGCACTTGTCCCGCGAGCGAGTCAGGAAAGGCTCTTGAGCTCCGTGATCCTGGCTGACTCAAGCCTCTAATTCCTTACATGAAAATGAAGTTGACGGTGCCTACTGTGCCCACTTCACTGCTTGAAAATAAACCTGGCTGCCTGGGAAAGCACTTTGCAAACTATGAAATATAAACAAAGACAGATCCACAGTGCCACCCTGGAGGCTGAAGTCACCTCTGGAGGACTGCAGAAATGGCCATTGCTCTTTGCAAGAGGGAGGCTTGCTCCGTTGCAGACTTCTCTAACCAGTGACCGTCTCTGGCCAATGGATGCGGCAGAATTGGCTTTCCAAGCTGGAGCCTCAACAGAAGACTGTGGATGCTCCTGCTGTCACATATGCAAGCCTGCAGCTGTGATGTTGAAGGCCAAGGCTGAGACACACAAACCCCTTCATCCCCACTAACACGAGGAGGGCACCCCAGACGTCCAACCACTGGCTGACGGCAACTCACTCACGAGTCCAGCCAAGACCAGTTGGCCTAGCCCAGCTCAGCAAACACCAGACAGCACATGACTCCCGAGCTCTCCTAAGTGGCTTCCAGTGATGGAGTTTTGCACTGGCTGGTTCTGCTAACTGACACCCTCCCTTACAGCACACTCCTGGTCAGGAGGAGCCCGCCACAGCCCACATGCCTGCGGTGGCAGCCCTGTGGGCCCACAGTCCACCTTCTTCCACAAAAGGTTTTGACTGCACTTTCCAAGGGCCAGGCTTAAACCCCGCCCCTCATCTGCCAGCAAAGCAGGCGCACCTGTGTTTTCAAAAGCTGCCTTGCAGTGGTAAGGGCTCTTCACACCCACAGTCCTATGGCTAGAAAGGACTGAGAGATGAAAAACAAAGCCTTCATTTAAGAGTTGGGGAACATGAGGCCCAGTGAGGCCTCGTGACCAAGATCAAGTAGCCACACAGCGGCAAGGGCAGGCCTTGGCGGTTCTGGGGTCTTTGCAGCTTCCTTTAAAGGTTTAAAAATTGCCCTGAGTCATATTTCTGCCTCTGGCTGTCAGTCCTGTCTCTGATCACAGGCCTTTATTAGCTGAGGACTCAGAGCCCCACTCTCCACACTGCTTACCTGTCACAAAGAAGCCTCATTGTCCGTGAGGAGATAAGGAAAAGCCAGAGTAGCACGGGCATTTCCTAAGTTGGCACCCACCAAAGACAAAGTCACAGCTCAGAAGACAGCTGGTCCTCAAGTTCACCCAACCTGAGCTTAAAGCAGGCAAGGCAGGCCCACTCAGCTTCCTGCTCAGCACCCACCTGCCACCCCCACCCCCCAGACCCCCAGCCTAACGCCTCCAGAGCTGATAAAAAGGCAGCCTCAGGAATCTACAGCTAAGCATAAAGTTTACTTCTTCCAGTCTCAATGAATAATTTTTCCTTCTGAAGTACTAAAACACACTCATTATTGGCCCGAGAGTCTCTGAAAACATAATAAAGAGAACGGATGCTTTCCTCGAGGTAGGGCAGGCCGAAAATTGGCTCAAGGTGTGCACACAAAGCTCCTTCTGCTTCCATGTCGCAGGTACCTAGGCAGCCCTGGCACGGACCTCACCTCGCTCCTTACTGAGCTGCTCTCAGTGAGGCAAAGAAATGCCCCTAAAACCTTCAAACCGGGGCCAGGTCAGGCGTGAGCGGGGCAGTCTCTCTTTAGGTTTAAGGACACTTAAGAAGTTCGTCTCTGTTGGGTCGAAATGAAACTATATTTAGATGTTTTTAGGGCCCAGGAGCCAGTGCAGCATCTGTGAAGCCAAATAAGTAGGCTGGGGAAATGCAGGAGCTGCCGAGGAGACACGGGGGGGACTTGGCTGACCTTTGGTGAGTGACTCAGGGGTCATGTCGGACATGTCCACACGAAAGAGCAGGTACTGCTGGGCTTGTATGAGGAGTCCCGGGAAGTCTCTCTCCACAGACGCAAACTGTTCTATCTTGTTTTTCACAGATGCAAGGACCTGTCAAAAACCACATTAATGAAGTTAATGCTTCACAACAGAATCCCACCCTCGGTTTTCAATGTGTCTCTCAGGTGCAGCCCTCGTTGCAGGAACTTCTATGATACCAGGCATGTGCTCATTTTTAACTGCCTGGGCGTTCTTGGTAGGGCACCCTCGAAACATCAAACTAAATGAAGCTTTGCATTTTCTCTAGAATAATCGAAACAACCAGCGCCATAGGACAGGGCAGGGAAGCAAATGAATTAGAACAGAGAGATTTGTTAAAAAGAACAAAACAAAAAGGGGAAGGAGAAAAGGGGCCAAGAGGTGTGGCCGTGGGCTGGGTGCACGTACCTGATAGAGCGAGCGGACGCTCGGCTGGAAGACCATGTTGGTGTTGAGCAGAAAGGAACGCAGGAGGGGCTGGGGGTAGCTGGCCAGCTGGGTAATGATGCCAATAAGCAGCAAGTTAACATGCAGAGAGTTCTCCAGCATGTTCTCCAGCTTGGACAGAACCACGCTGATGAAGGGGCCTGCAGGAAGAACACAAGGCTTCAGAGCTGGCGGGGCACAAGAGCCTGACTTCCTTGACTAAGGGGACCCTAGAGTCACAGCCACCAAACCAGGACAGGCCTGCCAGGGGCAAGACGCACACAGACATGGCTTCAAAACCAGAACAGAACATGAACGGGTACCATAACCAGCAGAAAAATGTGTATGAGAGCTAATACTTTGACTCCATGGGCAGTTTCAATACTTTGTAGATGATCACAGGCCTTGAAAAGAACAATCAGATGACAAATTAATTTTTTAAATAAAGATATATTTTTCCATAGTTGCTGTATTTCTTGGGGCTGCCGAGGTTGAAAGCATGACACTTGTCATCTCCCGAAACAGGGTTTTGTGCAAATGTTTCAAGCCACAAAAACTTTTGGTAGCTATCCAGGGCTATCAAACACAAACCAACCATGTTTATTGAATAGCAACAGTATGAAAAAGGCCTGTTTACCCCTAAGAAACAAATGACAATGATTCTGTCTTGCCAAATGGCACAGCAAATAGAAGTGAGAGAGATGAGACAGGATGAGGCCAGGGCAACTCGGTGACCACACCGAGATGAGAGACAATTTACAGATGAGAGACAAAGAGGAAAAAGGAAGTCTAGTTTCGGAGATATAATTTGCTGTGTCACAGGTCCCTCTAAAGAGAAAAGCCATATGAGGACAACAGCAGGGCATTAAAAACTTAGGCTAAAAGGAGCTTTGACTAATTTGGGTCACTAGAAAGTTATTATCTTTATGTTTGAGTTCATTAAAGTGGAGGGAAAGCAAGAACATAAATCTGGCATTAATAAAATTACTTGAAGATGTTTTCCATTTTTACGATAAAAGCAGTCCATTAAGCAAAACCGATGAGAATTTTGTATTTCCCCCAGTAGAGCTATTGGTGGTGCCACTAAGCCACAGCGTGTTTGCAACAATAGCTCCTGGCTCTGGATGACTAAACATGGCTTGTGAAGATTTCACCGCAACTAATGAGTTTGACAAAACATACTTCATCACAAGATGCTTCATTGAGAAGCTGCAGTCGTGTGAGAGCGTGAAGCCCTTTGCAAGAAAACAAGTCATCTGTGAGAAATGGGGAAACCAGCCTAAATCTTTTACCCACAGGCAAGTAACAGGGTGATGGCAGCGTTCCTGTCCCTGGGAACACAGAAGATTCCCAGGGAACACCCTGCAAGGGGTCTCTGCGCACAGAAAAGGCACCATGCCCTCCCTCTCCACCTGTGGGTCACTTTCCGGGACCCTGGAGGTCAAGGAAATCTTCAAATGCAGAACTGTGGAGAGTCCTTGCTTACAAAACACAACTGAAGAGCTATCCTGAGACATTGAGAAACTGGACCGAAACCCCACTTGGAAAGCAGCTTTATGGCAGAAATGTCACAGGTCCCTTTTAAGGCATCACGACACAATTTTAGCTTTCTAGGAGAAGGCTGCTGTCCGCACCGCCCCAGCCAGTCCTTCCTAGCCCTCTCCCCTGCAGTCCCTGGTTGGGCATCTACATCCTCCCAGAGGGAGCAGAAGCAGGTGAATCAGTTCATATTTAGGAGGGTCAAGACTCCTGTGAAACATGTGTCCTTAATGTGTTCCTGTGAGCCAACAACTGCCTTCATTGATTGGTTCCAGGCTGGACTTGGCTTCATCCACCATCCTGTAACCACGAAAGTTACTGACCAGGCAGAGGCCAGGGCGGCACTGGCAGTCTATTACTACAAAGGAGGGAAAAACAGCGTGAACCCTACATCCTGCGGAGAGCAAGTATCATCATCTCACTTGAGTAGCAAAATATTAGATCAAGGCCAGTAGACCGTCATTATAATCCACTACTGACTTTCATTATAACTTGTTAGGCATAGGCAATAAAAAATATATATATTAAACCTTAAACCTTTTCAAATTCTTGTTGCCTAGCACTAAAAAAAAAAAAAAAAAAACCTGCTTAGCAAAATGCAGTTGCTAGGGAAACTGGTAAACAGCTGAAAATCAGAAAACTCAGCTGCAATCTGAAAGCCACAGGTGCAGAGAGGGCTGGAGGGGTATTTTTTTTTCCCTTCTTCTAGGAAGATAAATTCCCCACCCATAAAATAATTAATTGTCAGCATGATGAAGACTATCTCCACGGCCTCCCTGTCACTTCCATCCGCTCAAGGGCTCTCCTCCAGCCTGGCTCTCCCCTCCCCTCCTGCTCCGGGACTCCAGCTTCAGTTCAGCCACTTTCACCTTGGAAATACCCTGAGTGTGACCTTCACCTCACCTGCCCTCCCCTGCCAGCACTCCTGAAGTCAGACTCATCATCATTCCCTTGTCAGAAATCCAGTTAGTTTTTTCTATTTTAATAGAGAATAAAATGATTTGAACATTTCTCCCCTCCAAACAGTACAGTACTATCTCCTATAGGAGTATGAAATATAGAAGTGGCCTCCTGCTGCAGGCGGGCCCTATTGGCAGATGCTAGAGTATTCTTCCAGAAATGTTTTATGTGTATAATAAAATATAATTGAATTGTTATTAAAAACACTCATTAATCACTTACAATGTATCAAGAAGGGTTCTAAGCACATTTTCCACCCATGCATTGACTTACTTAAATTCTCAAAACCACCTTATGAAGCATGTTTATTATTTATGCCCAGTTAAAGATGAGGCAAAATGCTAGGTACACATAGATAGTCAATGAGAGTCACAATTTTAATACAGACCATCTGTTCCCAGGACCTCTGTGCTTAACCAACATAATGTCTTGCTTTCCAGGTCAGTGTGTGCGCGTGTGTGTGTGAGTGAGTGAGAGAGAGAGAGAGAGAGAGAGAGAGAGAGAGAGAGAGAGAGTGTAGGGTAAAGAAAATATCAGGCTTTTCTGCCCTTCCACCATCAGGATAGATGACGGATCCTTGTCCTGAATGCATGCCTGATGGCGGGCACCTGGAGTAGGGTGTGGGCATAGGTAGATGGGATTCAGCTGAGCTAAGACTGTGCTTTTAAGGGCGGCATCACGGGGACGCCAGCAGCAGCAGCAGTAGAAGCCGAAGCCGAAAGAGAAGCCAAGAAGCAGCAGAACGAACTCCAGAGAGCTCAGACAAGAGTGAAGACTTGCTGGGGGGCCAGCCTCCCAGCCCCCGACCCAGCACCCCTGCCTGCCATATGCCTGGTGAACCCCAATAAAAGACCTGCAAAAAACCCACTAAGGACTCTGACTCCTCCTTTACCCGGTCTGCATGGGATCAGAAAACCTGCACTGTGGCCAGTCCTGCCTTTACAGAGAGGTTTCCTTAAAAAAAAAAAAAAAGATGACATACTCTACCTTGCTTTTCCACTTAATAATATACAGTCATGTGTCACTAAACTTTAGGGCTACATTCTGCGAAAAGCAGCATGAGGTGATTTTGCCTTTGTGAGAACTTGGCACAGCACAGTTCCCCGCTGGCAGAGACCCCTGCACAGGTGGGCTCTGCAGAAGGACCACCCCGTGGCATTGTCTGCCCGTGGCTGGAAGTTCATCAGGCAGAGCATGACTATTTGCTGCAGATGGCCCCACAAGAGCGCACAGAGAACTCTCTCCTTCATATCAGGGCTGCACGAGACTCCGTCGCCATGGGTGTTATATGAGTGAAACAGTCTCTCGATGCGGATGCTTGGCTTGTTTAGTCTATTATAAACAATGCCGCGATGGACATCTTTGCATACACCTCTTCGTGTGAGTACAGCTGTGAAAACACCCCTAGGAACAGAAGGCGCTGACTCTCTGCCTCAAGCAAGGTGCTGTGGGCTGGGTTACTGCTGTCCTGGTCCCTCTGCACCTCCTTCAGTCCCCAGGATCCTCCTGATCCCCCTCCGCCCCTTGCTTCATCAACTAGGAAGAGCAAGATTATCTAATCTTTTTACTTGTGATTGACTGATTGGATTTTAATTAAAGCCAATTCACACTGAAATGTTATCGCAGCTAGAACCTCAACTCTTAATTGTGGGATTAAAAGTTTTCTCCCTCTTTAAATAAATGTTTGGGCATCAGCAAGTAAATGAAAAAAATAGTGGAGGAGGGTAGGAGAGCGCCCCGAAATCTCATTAAGTCTACCTGGCTGGATGGAACGCTAAAACATCTTCTGCTTCGGCGACCCAAGCAGGTGGCAGCGTGGTTTTTCCTCACCATGCTGCTCCCTGCTTGCGAGGGAAGGACAGGCCTCCCTGGGTTGCTGGGAGCTCCCTGAAATCATTAATAACGAGCCCCAGCCCCCCTCAGTGTCTCATCCATCCTCAGAGGGACAAAAGGAAGGTCAGGAAGGCCAAGGTCACATGACTGGAAGTAGCAGAGCCAGGATTTCCCCACTGGCCTGACTTCAAGGCCACCATCTGACCCTCTGCGGTACCAGCTTCTTGCCACCCCTTCCCTGAGCTTGCCAAATCCTCTGTGCCACTTCCCTCTGCACCAGAATTTGCAGATTGAGATTGCAGATGGGTAATATTTAATAGAGTTTTCTATCACAATTCTTATCCAGCCCATTTGTCTGATAATGCTGCCCTAGCCCATCCTTTGCCACCCTCATGATTTCTGCCTGGCCCAGGGGGAATCGCTGGAACACACCCACTCTTCAGTGGAGTCTGAAGTTCATGTGTGTCTACTCTACTGACATTTGGGTGAAGATACTGTGATTATCTGAAATGAGCTTCCAGGCAAAGGCACAACTCGCCCCAGTAGCCTCTGATGTATGAGCACAACTCTATTTACTCAGAGAGTATTCTGAGCACCTGCTTGATCGGGGGTCAGGGGCCGGGGAGAGAGCAGAGAACAAGCCAACATCTGTGCCCTCGTACAGCATCCATTCAGGGTGGGAGGGGGGACTAATCTGCTCTCAAAATATATCAAAATAAAACACTAAGGAGAAAGATCAATCAGACTAAAGAAACTGAGGCTTTTAAATTAAATGAGATTGGATTTAGTCTGTCCTCTTATTTTATCAAAGACATACCAAGTTACTAAACAGTAAAATTTAACTTCTAATCTGCCGGGGAGGAAAACTGACGCCATTGGGAAAGTCAGCAGTGCCCCTTACCCTCACCTACCTGACTTCCTCTTGCACAAGGTACAAGCGCTTTCACAAGCAGAAATCACAAAGCAACTTAAGAGGGTCACCTGTGAAGGGGGTGCTCTGAGTCCTCACGGGCTGGTGACTGGCAAAGGCAGTCTCGTCTCGCACCCCAAAGGGGGACAGCACGGTCTCCACAGCAGGAGTCTCCACTAAGAAAGAGTCAAAGTCGTCCTCGTCCTCCTCTGGCTCCACCTGCTCCTCACCTTGGCTCTCTTCAACCTCCCCCTCCGGCTCCTCTGCGAAAAGCAAGGGATCGGCAGAGGAGAAATTCTGTTCTGTCAAGCCCTCCGTGCCAGAATCCAGTTCCCTAATGATCTGGTCATACTGAGCAATGAAATCTTCCCCCTCCGGGTCCGTGACCGTGGGGTCTGGCCTGTGCTCTGCCTCGGCGGCGGGGGCGGCCACCTCTGAGGTCCACTCTGGGCCTGCTGCGGGCTCGTCCTCTTGTGTCGGCTCCTCGGACACCTCTTCGAGCAGGTCAGACGTGCCCCTACCGGCTCCCTCCCCTGGATCTGTGTCTGGCGGAGGGCCGGGCAGGGGCTCGTTGTTGGTGGGGGGACGCTCAGGCCGGGTCTGGGCCGGGGAGGCGGGCCTGGCGGCCTCCTCTGGCGGCTTCGGCGTGTCCTCGGCATCCTTCTCGGCACACAGCCTGTACACCATCACGTCGTCCTGAAAGTCAGACTCTTCGATGTAGGAGCCTTTGAAGAGCAGGATGGCGTTCTTCTTCATCTCCTGGATGTGTTTTGGGGGGTCGATGGGCGCGGGCGGGCCGGAGCGCTCCAGGTCGTCGTCAGGCCCGGGGGAGCCCACATCCGCCTCCGAGGAGATGCCCGTGTCGTAGCTGTCGTCCCACTCCAGCTCGGTCGGGCCCTTCTCCTTCCTGGGAGCCGGCGGAGGCCCTGTCTTCCCAGGTTGCTGCTGCGGGAGCCTGAACACAGGGTGGGGGGCAGGGGGGGCACTCTCCTCTGTCAGGCTCTGGAGAAATGTCTCGGGGTCGGGGGCTTCTCCGTCATACAGGGCGGACCAGACGCGGCAGTCCCGCATGCAGCGCAGGATGTTGGTGTGCGCCTCCCAGAGGTACTGCAGGTAGCTGATGTCCAGGGCCCTCCCGTACTCCACGATGCAGGCCGAGGGAGAGAAGGCCTCGGGGAGCAGCTCCTCCGCAGCCCCTGCCACAGGAGAGACACATCAGCAGAAGGAAGGTATGGGGGCAAATGGAGGAGAGAGGGATGGGACCCACCTGCGTCCCGAAGACTCTGGTTAGAGCCAGCTACTTTGGCTCTAATTATATTATTAATTTAATGTAATTATAATATATGTTTTTAATTATTTTAAAAAATTATATAGAATTTATTAACAATATATTGTGAGCCTATAAATTATACATAATAATAAATTATTTGTGGGTGCCTGTTATAAATATGAATGTAAATATTAATATTAATGAATTATTTCTGAATAATTTTTTGAATGGGTAGATTTTAAGAAGGAAAGATTAGAACACAAGTCTACCCTCATAGAAGATACAGAGCCAGGCCCAGCTAGAGTCGACAGGAACAGTCATTAGAGAAAGAAGGCGTAATAAAAGTAGCCTCTCAAGTTGCTGAGAGGATTAAATCAGGGAAAGTAACTAGCATAGTACCTGCCACAGAGTTGGTAATAATTATAAAATTTTCTATGAACACTAAAGAAAAAGGTGTGTGACCCATGAATTGGGGAGCGAAATTTTCTCGAGAAAACTCTGGAATTTTAGAAAAGCCTGTTAGCTCATTCTGTCTTATATAAAGATCACAGTCACCACCAAAATGATCTTTTGAACCCAAGAATGCTCCCCTAGGGTACCAGGAGCCGGCCTCTGACATTAGCGGTTGTTGCAACCATGTAACTGAAGTAGCTGTGAAAACACCTGCGTGGAAGTTTACATTTTCTTTCAGGAAGAGAAAAATAAGCTAGACTAGGAAAAATAGCTGCTAAGGCGTCTGCTAAGTAGCAGTCGAGATCTAATTTGAACACAGCATGGCAGGTATTTTTTCTCCATCTACAGGAGAAGAAATCAGAGATAGAAGGTGGGCGACCCACGCGGCTCCCGCCGACCCCGCCCTTAGTGCCACACCATCTCGACTTTCTGGTCTCGTCACGAAGTCTCTACCAGACGGGGCCAGAATTGAACCTTTAAGAATAGACATTTTCAGGTCCTAAGAACAAACATAATCCATTTTTTATTTCCACTACGAAAAGGTTAGTCTTCTTATCCACTTTAAATAAAAAGACATCCAAACTACTACTAGCGATATTTATTTACCTCTCATTACATGCCAAGCAGTCTTAAGAGCTTTGTATGTTTTAACTCATCCTTGGAACAAGCCTTTGTGGTAGGTACTGTTTTACAGACTAGGGGCAAATGTTTAGAAAGGTTACAAAATTTGCCTAAGAAAGTAACAAACTCCAGATTCTGAATCCAAGCTCATAACCACTGCACAATAAGTGCATTATCTGCCCACCTACCTACCTTCACAGTAATCATTTACACATTAGGATTCATCCACTGTAAGCCAACTTCAGAGGCTCAGAACATGGACTTTGGATCAGAGGCTCTACATGCTACATAACCTTGAACACGTCAATCCCTCTCTTACAGTCTGTTTCTTTAACTATAAGATGGGAATACTGCCTTCTTAAAAGGATTGAATGTGACAGCACAGGGAAAGAACATGGCAATTTATAGACACTCAACAATGGCATTTTTTAGCTTAACTTTTGAATTCTGTGGCAAGATCAGCCACAGAATCATTCTTGAAACAACTTTTAGTTTTTTTTAAAGATTTATTTATTCATGCATACAAGAACCAGGGTACAGAGGATTCACCAGAGACAGAGTGGGGAACAGAACAGGCAGACCGAGGGAAATACACTGCTAAGGGGAGCAGCGGGCGAGGCAGGAGAGGTCTGCCTCGCCATGTGGGATTCTCGCCGGCCAGCAGGGATCGAACCCGCGCTACAGAGGCTGTGGAAAACTTCACAGCACTGCGCTCAACTGCCTGCACCACCAGGGGAGGTTCCCAAATTTTATAATAAATAAAAAAGACAAACTTTCAAATGTTTAAGGAAAAAACCAGTATACCCAACTGGAAAATATATTTAAAACACAGCTTGCTATAAAAAAAAAAAAAAGTGGCACACAAATTATTAATTTCCAAAACCAAGAATCAGTAAGGCAACTTTCATTTCTGAAAATTACACTTACACCAAATGTGCTATATTTCTAAATCTAGTACCCTGGCTCTTAAATATACTTTATCTAAGAGGACTATAGCTGGGTGAACAGAATGACGATGTAGGGGTCTAGGGGGCTAGCAGGTGACAGATTGGACATGCCTGTGCTGGCACCAGGTCTGGCCACTTCCTAGTGCTCCCAGGGCAGCAGAAGTTCTTAAACTGAAATAGCTTCTGACCATTAATAACACACAAATGCCACAGGTGTCGGCTGCCTGCAGAGGGCCAAGGTTGACACAGGGGGTTGTTTAAATTCTACTTGTACCTGGCAGACTTCAGCTGGCAAATAGCACATATGTTTTAAAACACTGTGAAAACACAATACATGAAAACTCCCTCATTGGCTCAACCAAATGTATCGAATACTATTGTCTTATCACCAGTTTTAAGGGTTTATTTTTTTTTTTGGATTTATTTAATCAAGAACTGGGGTACAGTCAGAGGCGCGGAAGGGTGAGAGAATTCACCAGAGACTGAGCAGGGAGCAGAACAGGCAGACGGATCAAAATACACGGCTGATGGGAGCAGCAGGAGAGGTCTGCCACACCATGTGGGAATCTCCCTGGCCGGCCGGGAATTGAAGCCACGCTGCAAAAGCAGCGGACAGCTTCACAGTGTAGTGCTCAACCTGCTGCACCTCCGGGGAGGCCTGCCAATTTGAAGTTTTATAATGACATCTTACTCACAGGCCAGCATCTACACCTGGGCCATTGAAGATTAAAATAAAGGCTAATTCTATCTCAGCTGCAGGCATTGCCACACCCGACAGGAGACATGCTGGTGTGGAGGCCACTAGAGAGACTAGTTAAAGGTCTGGTGGAGCTTCAATGATCACTGATCACAAGTGCCCCTAACTCCTTACCAAACAGGAAAGGATCCCCAACTAGTCATTCACCAAAGAAACAGGACTCAGTACATTCTTCCCTGTCTTCCTACAGGGACACAAGCCCCAAGGAGAGACGGGGTTTGGCACCCCTTGGTTTCAAGGTCACCCTAGCGAGCTCCTACCTGAACCATCATGCTCACACTTGGACCAGAGGATATAATCCCTCTCTTGGTTCCCGAGCGTCAGGGTGATCCCGCTGGAGCAGCAGACAGGGGTCAGGGCGAGCAGCTTGGCTGCGGAAACAGAGTAACAGTCTCTCTCCTTCACAGCCCACCTCTGACTCAGCATCATGTGATTACAGGGGATCAGGTACCTGGAAGGATGAAAAGAGCCGGCATTCAGTCTCCGCAATGTCCGTCCCCGCCCGCCACCCCTCCTAAGCCTAATCAGGACCAGTTGTGGCCAGCAGTTGGCGCATCCTTTTTGGCCAAGGGCTTCTTTCTTCTGACAGCACAAGCCCTCTGCAAAGCATTTACAGATGCTCACAATTTAATCTCCTTCTGCACCTCACTCTCAAACCACCCATCCCACCAAATTCCTTTCTTTTGACCCTATTTAGTTATAGTCCTCTACTTATGCCCATTTATTAGAAAACATGTGTTCCTGTGATGATGCTGGTAGAATTGAATATGAACAGTGTCTGTTATTGAAACAAGTCAACCTTGTCAGCAAAAGTTTTCATTATTGTTCTGAAATAAACTTAAGCATCTTTTAAGCACCTGCAACTGCCCTCTCTGCCTCTGTGCCTTTGCACATACTGTAACCTTCACCAGGAATGCGCTTTCCCCTGTCCCTGCCTGACGGTGTCTTGTCATCCTACAGAGTCCACTTCAGTGTCATCTTCTCTGGACAGCTTCCCGCCATTTCACCCCCACTCTGCTTTCCAGGAAAGCTCCGTTTCCTGGAATCACAATCAATCAGTGTTTGTCTCCTCCATATAATGTGCTCCCAGAGCAAGAACTTCCTTCAGTAGTTTTGTCTCACAGTCCCGTCAGTAGGTACGAAATGCTGGCAGTTGTGCAAAAGGGCAAAGAACCATTCAGTCCACAGTGCAGACCATCTCTGGTGTTCTCATGGGTCACCATGAGGAAATATGGCAGCCAGGGACTCAGGGAGGAGCTACCAGGCCCTATTTCACATGAAACACTGGCTGATGATCAAAAGCACCTTAGTATCATCTTGAGCCTGGAGACAAGAAACTGGCCCACCTTTTCTGACACACTGAGGCACATTCGTGGGCTCCACTGAGTATCCAAACAAAGATGTGGCAAAAGCAATGGAGGTGCCATCGCCAGAGTCAAGTGTCACCTGTGGGTGCAGGAGCCATTTCCAAAAGAGCCAGAGAGCCCATAGGTGAGCAACCACAGAATGTTTTTGTTCTATATTTGACTTTTGGGAAAGAGGCAAGCAGAGGAAAACAGCTATGATTAAGGATTCAGTGAAAAAGATAAAAGCACAATTTTCAGGATGTGTCTTAAGGTCTATAAGGTCGTGTTGATCCAAATGAGGAAAATCTGTGATTCTATTCACACCTGATCTGTAGCAAGAGCCAAGTCAGGGAAGAAAAAAGATTTAATTCTCTTCATGGTACTTTACACTAAGGTCTTCATAACTTTCAAGGTATGAAATGACAACCTTGCACTTAACTTCCTGTACTCAAAAAAAAATTAAACCATTCTTCAAGCGGACTAAGTATCTGGGAAGGAGGTCCTGGTCTCCTCCCACCACCCCCCTCCCCAAATCATAGGCCAGCACATACTCGAAGCCCAAGCTGCTGTTACTCAGATAGGGCACAGCACGCATATCTAGTGGTGGTGTCTATTTTCATAATTTGAGTTGCATGAAAGCCAAAGGTCACAAAAACAAAAAGGAAGGGATGGTGGGGGACAGCAGAAGAGAGGGGCATGTCTGTTCTAATTCTTGGTCCAGGGTGGGAGGCTGTATTGGACTGGAGTAGACACGGATGCTATAGGCAGAAAATGAAAGGGCCCATTCATGACTGTCTCTGTGGGCAGAGATACTTTGGTGACTAAGAATGATGCAGGGGAGAGGCTTTCTCCTCCTGACAGAACACAAAGAAAAGGAGTGGTACTCCAGCACCTCAGTACCCCTGCATTCTCAGGAGGGTTGGGGCCCAGCAGGGAGAGAGAGAGGGTTGGGGCCCAGCAGGGAGAGAGAGAGAGACCGGGCAGCACCAACCAAGGGGTTCAGCAGGCAAGGAGGCTCTGTGGAGTCTGCTGCAGCAGATGTACTGGGGGACTAGCTGTACGAGTTGCTGTATTACGAGCTGTACTATAGCAACTAGCAGTACTAGTTGCTAATGAACACATGTAAGACCCCTCCTGTTGGGCATCCCAGATATAATAGCTGATGCTTTGTAGGGGTCAAGGTCTTGGGTTTGCTGGGTGGAGGGAGGAAGCTAGCAAACCTATCCTATGGCTGTTGATGGGAACCCTTCTGTCCTCAAAGGCTAGGGATTGAGATTACACAAAATTTATTGTATCTTTATTTTGACCACGAGTTTTAAAAATATTTTAAATGCTTCCATGCTTTTATATACATGGGAACTCTACAACTACTTACAGCTCAAACCACGCATATTTCGTGGTTTAAGTTGGTATACACATTTTTCTACTGTTTGAAGTGTTAAAAAAAAAAAAAAAAACAATGGGACATGCTTTCAGTAGAACTAAGAATTTTCTTCTGAGAAAAACAAATAAAGGGAGATCCCCTACAGGTTGTGGAGCGGGTCTATGAATTGAAAATGGAGGAGTCAGTTCTCATAAATAACCCCCCTTGTATTCAAAGCAGCACTTCTACTGTGCCTTGAAAATGAAGGATGACCCCAGAGGGAAGAACAGGAAAACCACACAGTGACCCTCAGTCATTCCATCATTTACAGGGAAAGATTAGGATCAGCAGGAATGTCAGAAGCTTTCCAGATGTCAAATATCCAAGGGAAAGGCTGTCAATAGTAGAAAATCACTTAGGAATTTAGTATAGGTATTTGTCATCAAATTATCTTTTAATTTATATTATGTTTATCCTGTTCAAGAATTTTATTTAAATTATGGAAGCACTACAAATAGAGACCAACAAATACCTGATTTAGGAATCCAGGTTGCTTAAAGCCATCCCACAACAGAGCAGGAAAAAAATATATCACCTGTATCATCCTCCCTTTTTTCATTATTTCCCCAACCCTCTGAAAATCTGGGTCTATTTTCTATCTTCCTGGATACCACTCATTAAAATAAATCATCTTCACTTCTAAAACAATCCAGTGACAACCAATCGATAACAAAGCAAATATATGGCTGACTGTTACACTGACAATAAAAACAAGCAGAAAACAAAACAGGAAAGCACAGTGGAGTAGGCAAAGTGCCTCCTGTGAGATGCTGAGAACCTCAATGGTCACCATGGGCAAAACCCTACAAAGCAACATCAGTAAATTTCAAAAAGCTCATTTGCTTCTCAAAGAACTTCTGGCCATATTTCTCCTGTTCATTCTATCCTGGATTTGCTGGGTTTTTGTTTGTTTGTTTTTGCTCTCCTCCCGACACCTAACCCCCACTCAAGATGGAAATAAATGTTCCTGAAGTGTACTTTTGGAGTAAAACCACCTGACTCTGAGCACAACAGGCAGTTCATTAACCTGACAATGGACCAGCACTTCTGGAAAAAACAAAGAACAATAACAACAACAACAAAAAAAAACAGCCTAACCAGAATTTTCAGAAGTGGCATTCAGGGTATTAAAATTTGCCTAAACTGGGAAGTGCCAGCAACAAGAGGGTGATTTGTCACTGCTCATCAGCACGTCAAGCCAGCCTTTGGCCTATCTGGTATGTGACATCCCTAGAAGTGAAGAATTTCTCCTTGGTTTTCTGCTCACCAAAATAGCTCCCTGTGGGGGCTACCCTATGTCAGCTACTCTTCTGATATTTTGCTAAATAAACATATCAGATACAAATGGATTATGACTTAGAAATGTCGAAGTTTAAAGAGTATTTGGGTTGCAATAAAAATTGACATAATTATTTACTTATCACATAACAAATAACTTCATTAAAAGGGCTCACATAATCCTCATTGCTCTATTGCCTCTGAGATTTACAAGTTGATCATGTACATCTGAATGATTATAGTGGCAACAACTAAAAGGATGGACAATAAATTACATTTACGTCCTTTAAAATAAAGCTTAAATGACTAGAAGAGTAAGAATTTTTCACTGTCCTTGCCTTGGGTACAAATTCTAAGTCAGAGAAGACATTGTTTTCAGTTGTTTAAAATATATTCTCCTTCTTTCCATTGGTGTAATATTTTACAGTGTTTCAAAACATGTTCACAACTATCATCACAGCTAATCCTCCCCCAAACCCTATGAGGTAACAAATTCCAAAACCAGAACATGTCAAGTGAAATCCGTGGTCCACTCTCCCCTGGGGCTCTCACAGAACATGTTCCCTTGTTGTTCTAGCATCACTGTTCATGGCCTTGTTTTCACAATTGCTATCCCCTTATCTCTCTCTGCTGCAAATTTAGTAACTTCTTCAGTCTATCTTCGAGTTCATCATCCTATCTTCATCTGTGTCTTCAACACTAAATACCCCCTACTCATAGTTTTTCATTCTAACAATCACATATTTTTATTTCTTAGAGCTCTAGTTGGTTCTTTTTCAACCCTGCCTCCGATTTTTGCTTGATTATTAAATTACCCATTTTGTTAACACAAAATAAGTTATTGGTGAGGATGCAGAGAAATGGGTGCTCTTGTGCACTGTCACTTGGCATGTAAATGGTGTAGCTGTTACAAAAAAAAACAATTTAAACATAAAATAGAATTACCATATGATCCAGTGATTGCACTTCTGGGTAGACACCAAAAGAACTGAAAGCAGAATCTTAGAGAGGTATTTGTACACCCTTGTTCACAGCAGCCCTATTCACAGTAGCCAAAAAGTGGAGTCAGCCCAAAAGGTCCATGGATAGACAAACACAAGCAGGGTATAAGCAATGGGAAATTATTCAGTGTTGAAAAGAAAGGAGACTCTGACACACGCTACAACACGGAGAAACCCTGAAGACACTATTAAGTGAAATAAACTAGGCACAAAAAGGTAAACACTGTCTGATTCCACTTACATGGGGTCACTAGAGCAGTTAAGATTCATAGAGACAGAAAGTAGAAGGGCAGCTGTCAGGAGCTGGAGGAAGGAGAAACGTGGTTTCTGTTGCGTGGGCTCAGGGGGTGGGCTCAGGGAGTTAGTGATAAACGGTGAAACTGTTCTGGAGATGAAAGGCTGCATGACGGTGTGGATGTATTTAACACCACTGAAGGGTCGATGTAGCAAATTTATGCTAATTTTAAAAATACTTTCAAAAGCTGGGAAAGAAAGTCAGTACAGGACAGAGACCAGAAAGTGCTGTCACCTGCACGGCTTCCTGAGCGTCTACCACCTGTCCGACTTCTGCATGAGTTTTCTTCTTTGCTATCGATCTGGCTTAACCCAGGCATTTCAGTGGAATTAGAAAATAAGAATTCAGTAAAGGGCAACTATTCTTATTCCAGTTTCACTGTCACTCATTAAAGAAACTTGGGCTCAGAGAGCCTGGGGCCAGGTGGTCAGGTGGCATTCCCATCGCTCAGCTCAGCACCCGTGACAGCATGTGCTTCAGGCCTTTCCTATGGAAATTACTAGCGCCCACCCCCCACCCTGGAAGTGACCAGCTCCAACTTGTGCATGTAAGTATTTCAATCATAAGCTAGTTTCTTCACCTTCATAAGGTCACAAAGAGGCCTTAACTAACACCATCTCTGAGGCCGGTTTTCCACAGACTCTGCTTCACGGGCAGACTAAAAGCGACAAGCGCTCACCTGGTGAAGGTCACTGACCAGCCAGCTCCTCTACCTGGGCTAAAGGGCCCTGGTTCCCCAAGGATGGGATGCTCTGTCCCTCCTGAGCTGGGCCACTGAGCAAGGTGGCTGCTTTTCATGCCATCCCAGAAGCAGTTTTCAAGAATTTAAATATAATCAGGTTTTACCCTTGGTGGAGGAAAAGGCTGGCGTTTGGCAATAAAAAAAGCTTTACCAAGTTGTTCTGAGGGATTTCACTCAGGCCTGGCTAACACATTCTGTCATATCAGTAGAGACACAGGGAGCTGAAGTAATCCTTTTAGGACAGATAACTAATGCTCTACCCCTGCTATCCAGGGTATTTCTTTATGATCGGATTTGTTCTTTGCTAATGCCTGAAGATTAGTTACTGATGACCTGATCTAAACCCTTAAAAAGTTCAAACACTCTTTTTAAACTTAAAAATTAATAGGTGATACTCTATAAGATGGTAACTCTGTGAGACCTCCACCTTTATGCCACCAACAGCTTTTTCAGTCTGGTTTTCTTTTTAATCACTTCCTTCTGCGGGATGCTGCACTATTCCTAAAGCCAGTGGTTCTCAAATTCAGCTATGCATGTCTGCATCGTGCAGTCTACATCAGCAGAACCCGAGAGTCTGTTAAGACACAAATGCTGCCCGTCTTCCCCAAGTCTCTGATCATCACACCTGGGAAAAGCCGAGAATTTGCATTTCTAGCCCATTCCTGGATGCTGCTGCTGTTCCCAGTCCCTCGTTTGCCATCCCCTTCCTAGACCACAGCTACCACTCCAGAAATGCCATCTCCACAGCAACTCTGCTCAGGTCATGTTAAGACCCCCAGGTAGACCGGGGGCATCCCAAATCTCTGCCCTCTCCCCAGCTCGCTGCTTCTTCCACCCTGTTCCCAAGGACAAGTCCAAGAAAGGGTCAGAAAGCCCACAAGGAGAGCAGGAGGGGGCATGTGAGCCGGAAGACCCCTCGTCTTTTTCCTTCTTGTTTCCATGATACCAGAGAGGAGTGTCGGAGCACAAACCCTGGCCAATTCCCACCTCTTTCTTTATAGAAGTTGAGTCTTCCTTGAGGGACCCCTCCAGAAGGAGACTCAGAGCAGGGCCAAGGCAGGACTAGACACTCCTGAGTCCCCTTCCAAGTCACCAAATTAACGTCTTAAGAGTAGTTCACCTCCACTCCCAACACCTGTCGTCAAACTCCAGCCACGCTGAACTTTTCCCAGCTTCCGCTGGACATACATGTGTGCCCTGTCTGTAAATCCTTTCAATTCACCCGCTCCATCCCATACTCCCTTCTGAACTGTAGACACAAAGTACTCATTAAATATTTACTGAGCTTAATTGAAACCTACTCAGGGCAGAGAGTGCACACGGCATGTGCACCGTCACCACAGCAAGGGCCTCGACACTAACCATCAACGGCATTTTATATTTGGAGCAGCTGTTTTCAATAACATAGACCTGTGTTGCTGCAAAAATGTGCTTCAGGAGAAAAACATTCAGCCGTGGACGCAAAGAGCTTTCATAATACTGCTGAAGATTTCTCTATCTATTGCTTCCAGGAGTATATTTATAATGCATCTGGCTTCTAAAAAACCTGTAATAGTACAACTAAAATTAACCTTGGGAAATAATGCAGAAATTAAATTGATTTTCCTGATGATTTTCTTTAGAAGCATGACCCCTACTTAGCTTATATTACCAAAGAAAAGCTACAACAGCAATAGCAGAGAGAGTTTTTCTTTAATGGGAATGAGAGATAGCAACTTACCTTAGAATCAGCTGTAACATCACATCTTCACAGTGTAAACCGATGAGAGTTCTAAATAATGCCAGGGACACCACGCAAAGCTGGGAAGCAATAAACACATTCGATTTCAGGTTTTGGAAGGATAGCTCTGTTCCCTACAGATGGTCAATAAATCAGAATTACAAAGTAAAATGCCTCTTTTTTTTTTTAAACGGTTTTGATGAAAATATGCCACTTTCAGAGAGAATGCACACCCAGGCTCCTGGTTTCCCTGCAGGGTTCCATTAAAAGGCTATGCCTGGAATTATGCCATTACATGGAATTAGCCCCCCACAAGTCTCCCAAGCTCCCATTTACAACTTTTAAAGATGCAGATAAACATCTCTTACAACTTTCCAGTAGACACACACACACACACACACACACACACAATCTCCTACTATTGTCACTTATTTTCCTATTTTCAAATAAGACAGGGCTAACAGAACACCACAGAAACTCTACCCAGTTCTCCCTCTAGGGTTCTTAGTCCCAGGCTTTGGAGCAAGTTTGGCTTTGCTTCCATTTCCCAGAGTGCTGAGAGTGTGATAATATACTTTACTGAGAAGCTCATTAAAAAACAAGAATTCCTTCCATCTCTGATGGGAAAGATAAGCAGTCAAACAGGGAAGATTCCCAACAGTGTGTTATATAATAATGGTGCCCTTTTAGGAGCAGGCTTTTATCATTCTCTCAAGTCACATAAGTCATTTAGGTCTCATTCTTTGTACGGAATGGGCTTAAAATCCAGTCAATGAAATCCTTAACAGGTCTTAAGAAATAGCTTTCCTTGACCTGCCCCAAACACATCTTGTGCTCAGGTCACCCAGCCGTTAGCCATCACTTTCATTGCACTGCACATGCTGTTCCTTGCCTGGGAGGGCATACCCTGCCTCCTCCACAGGCTCACCCCCACAGCCTCGAACCCCAACCAGGGCCCTAACGTCCCCCTTGCTCCCAGTGTTAACCACTCAACACCTCCTTCTTCCAGTTTCAGGAGTCCTTGTGATAGTCTATCTACTTGTTCTACTCATTATGGAAAGTAAGGTATTAAATGCCCATTCAGTTACTGCTGACATTTCTTTTTCTCCCATAAATGCCAGAAATTTCTAATTCATGTGTTTTGCTCTGATTTGAAATGCATGTATACTTACAGTTGCTGTATCTTCCTGAGGGGTTGACCCTGTCATTATAGACTGCCCCCATCTTCTGTCTAGTAACATTTCTTATTGTATTTTTTATGCACACAGAAGAAGTGGGGTATAGGCCAGAGATGTGGGGGGTGAGAGGATTCAACAGAGACAGAGTGGGGAGCAGAACAGGCAGATTGACTGAAATACACTGCTGAGGGGAGCAGCGAGCGAGATAGGAGAGGTCTGCTGCGCCATGTGGGTTGGCTCCATGGTTGGGGATCGAACTCAGGCCTGAGACTTAGCCCCTAGCCCACATTACTTATTTTAAAGTCTCCTTTAAAGTCTGTCCCACCTTTGATTTGGTTACTATTCCCATGAAATCGCTTCCCATTCTTTAACATCCTATTGGTATCTCTGCATCTTGTTTTTCTATTCAGTCAGACAATCTCTGCCTTTTGATTGAAGTTATTAATCTATTCATATTTAATATCATTATTGACTTATCCTGCCATTTTACTTTTTGTTTTCTGTGTATCCTGCATGGTTTTTTTGCTCCCTACTTCTCCTTAACTGTCTTCTTTTGCATGAGCATAACACTGATTCCTTTAATGATTTTTTTCACTATATTTCTTAAGCTCTAGGCCTTACTATGTACATCTTAAATAATCAAACTCTACTTCAGATTTACACTAAACTAGTGCCAGTGAAATAGAGAAACAGTACTCCTGCATGGCTTTATTCCTTCTTACCCCATCTGTGCTATTATTATTACACATAGTACATCTGCATGTACTACAAACTCAACGATGTATTATTAAACTGTTATTCTCTTGCTTTCAAATAATGATTGCAATCAGATATGGCCTTTGGGGAGGAGGTTGGAAAGGGTGGCACTCCGTGTTTAAGAGAATTTTCAAAGTTAATCAGTTCCAAACTAAAGAACGAATGACCACCCAAATTCACAACTTCCCGGATTTCCATTTCAAAACAACTGCAGATGGAAACAGAATCTCTAATACCAGATTTGCTGTACCCTGGTTTCTCGGCTTTACTTGCACTTACGCCATATATTCCACTGCATTCTGCCTCCTCAGAAACACATTCTGCTGGTCTAAGAAGAAAGTGCCAACCCAGATAAATTGAGAAAAATGTCCTGTAAAAGGCAGTAAGTGCCACATCCCTGGCAGAAGAGCTCCTGATACCAAAACACATTAGCTAGTTCCCTTCATCCAAAACAGAAAAAGTAATGGCTGTAAGGGGGGAAAAAAGGGAAAGAGAAGAAAAAATATATTCATAATTTATTCCCAAAACAAACTCTTGAAATTGGTGCTGAGTTACAAGTTCCCTTTTTCTGGGGTGCTCCTTACCCGAAATGGGGTGTTGATTCGGCTCGTGAGAGTATCTAGGATGTGGACATTCTCATGTTGGTGCAGCAGGATAAAACGGAGGAAGATCTCAAGCAGAGCTGGCTCGGAGATGCTGCGCAGGAAGAGATCTAGGTAGGCAGTGGTGGTCATGACCTCCTCCACAGTCACCTGGGCCAACGACAGAGCAAGCACAGGTGAGCATCCTCCGGTGCTGTGAGACATGCCTCCCCAGTGACCCCTGGCCTCACCACTGTAACCCCATCAAGGTAAGAACACACCTGCCACGAGGACACACTTCAGAGCTTGCAGTGAAGCCTCTAACCTCTCCACACTCCATGTACCTCATGCTGCTTCCGCCCTTTAATTCAGTAAGGGAAAGCAAAGGCAGAAAGAAGCAATGCAAGTATTCCCATGCCTCTAATCATCAAATGCAGTTCAAATATCATCAAGATTTTAATGTGCAATCGCAAAGGGAAAAAAAAAAAAAGATAATGGTAAGTATTTACATGGTCAATAAAAGATTAATTAGAAAGCATAGTGCAACTTGTTTCATTTAATAAATATTTACTGGGACCTGCTATGTATAAGGAGCTAGAAATGCAAGAACATATTTCTTGTTCAAGAAGAGTATATATATATATATATATATATATATATATGATCTCACAAATAAAATAGTAATATAATAAATGGAAAATGAGAGGTAAAGACACAAAGTGCTGTGATGTTCAAATGTTTCTACAAGGTTGCAAGCCAAATTTATACACCGGAATAAAATACATTAAGTGTTATTTATAAAGTACTATAACAGGTTATGGTTTATAAAGTAAGTGTGACTTTTTTAATAATCCAAATTAATATATTCTATGTGGAATGATTTGCCATGCAGTAAAATGTCTTTCAGAGAACAAAAAACTCTGAAAAGTCTCGTTGTTCACAGGGCTGAAGATTTGATGCTTAAAGAATCAGAACTTAAGTATTAAACCTTTTGATTGGGAATATTTTAAGAACTAGCATAAATGTTTTTGTCTAAAAGCACGATGTAATGTCATGTGATAAACAGGCTTATTGTCTGTAGTATAGAAATACTCAAACCACATGCACGAAAATCATCAGGGAAACAGCTTGAAATTTCAGATTCCAACATTAGATCCCAGAAATCTTAGAAATCTCCCCTGCCACCAGTCTAATGCACTTGATGTAAATGAAACAGAGGGTGATACTTTTTGAGTAATCACATCTCCTTTCCAGTTTTTCTTTCCTTTCTTCTTCCTTTTGAAAGTGCTGTCATTTCACCATACTATACTGGGTCATTCCTTTTCTAATACGTCCCCTTATAATTTTCTGCTTCCAAATTCCACAAACCAGATGAGAAACCAGCTCTAGATCTGCTGTGCAAGGGTAGACAGAACTTGTGTGGATGCATCTGTGCATAAAGACTGAAATTACTTTTATAAATGTCTTGGTTCTCAGCCATGTTCTAGATAGATGAGTCCAGGTGGCTATTAAAAAAATCAGTTTTGTTTTCTTTATTTTAAACAAGGTGTGCACAGTGTCAGACCTGTCACCTCCAGCTCAGAGACAGAGCCGTGAGCCCTCAGACACGTGGCACACCCTGTGCCACCTGAGAACTTCAGAGAGCTTGTGTGGCCCATGAACAGCAAAGGGGAAAAATGAGCATCAACCATTCGGCAAATAAATAACCTTGAGATGAGCACCGCTCCCCAGCTGCCCTGTGTCTGAAACTGCTGCTCTCCTTGTGTTTGCTGGTATTCTCTGGTCCCAAGGTCATGGCAATCTCAATGCTGTCCTGGGACACACACACACACACACACACACACACACACACACACACACTTTTCTTTACTACTTTCAGTGCAGTGCACAGAGTCTGGCCCACAGAAGACCCTTGATAAACATGTTCTGAATCAATCACAGCCCTCAAGGACCTCGTCACTTACATTTGCACAGTTGAGCTTAATTTTTAATTTTTCCCTCTTCTCTGCATGTGTTTTGGAAGACCCCAGAGAGCCGGGACAATTTTTCTAAAGGCCTACAAAATAACCGTTGTTGTCTACAGCAGAACTAAGGGGGAAACGATTCCCAACACCCCCAAACAAATGGTTGAACGAGCTCAAACCCATCCCACAACTGCAATCTCAGGGCCCTTCAGCAGAAACTTAATCCAAAAGCATTTAGGTAATGCTCTGACTCCCTAACAGTCTTGATCATTAATAAAAAAAAGTAGCACAAATCACTCCAAATGGGCGATGCGTGCAGTTTCTGCAGTAACGTACTTCCAACCCGCCTACTGAGCACACCGAGCAGGTGTGTCGTAGAGAATCCCAGGAGCCACCTCTGCACCAAGAATGCAGCATCAGCTCCCCCCGCCTTCAGTTACACATGAACTCAATAAGCTCAAAAGCACAGCAATAAACTCTTTCGAATGTAACTCTCAGTCTTCAGGGGGCTGACATGAAAGGAGGGCATTAAGTATCTATTGTTTACTACTCACAGGCTGGATAAATGAAAGGATTTTTTTTAAAAAAAATCAAAGCTGTCATTTATAAGCTAAGCGGATTTAAAAAAGCACTTGGAGGGGCAGCATTTATATAACATGCTATAAATATTAAAAACCCTATTCTATTAAGCATCCAGTTGCAAACTCTATAAATCGAGGTCACATTCCCCTTAAAATAGTACCCAAGCCAGGAACATCTGGTTCCTTTCTCTTACCCTCTCATGCCGCCACCATATCCTCACAGCCTTTAGAAGCCTTTTATCCCAGAAAATCTTTTCCTGCCTCATTATCTTACCTTTTAGAACCTTCTTCTAATCCCCCAAATAGGCACCCTCCTTAACGAGGATGAGACTAGGGCCTAAGTGTGATCACTTGAAAGCTAAGGATGAACCTCAAGGGGAGGCCACTCTGCTGTGCGGAATGTAAAAATAAAGCTTCCGCTAATGCCCCGAAGAAGAGGAGGGATTAACCGAACAGGAAAGCAGCCTCCTTTTCATGCTCCAATTACCACGGACAATCAGTTGTTGATGCAAATAGTAATTCAGCCTTATAGATGATTGTCAATATTTATTTGCCATGTTTGATTAAAGAATTGCAGATAAGGACAAAATTACACAGAAATTCCAGTTGAAATAGCAAATGTGATTCTCCCCCTTACTACCTATAATACACAATAATAATAAAGTTTAAGGTTACTAAAGTTGGAGAAGGTTATTTCACAGTAAAAGTAGTTCAACATGACAGCAATCACTTAAGGAAAACTCAGTTTTCCCACAAATATCCTTGACAAGGTAAGTCAGCTGTGAATCCAAACAATGTGCCTGCTTAGGCACCCTATGTGCTTGCTTTTCAGTAAGTTCTGCAAGTTCAGTGAGTTCTAGAATGGAGGCCTGACTCTGGTACTTAATCACACAGCTCTTAAGTCCCATTTAGTCTACCCTTTGAAATCCCTTTCCCCACATTCTACACCCTCCACTTGCAATTACCTGAGCCCTCCTTTACGCCAAGCGTCCTTTACCAACCTCTTAAACTGATGTTTTCAAATTATAGTTTGAAACCCCAAAGTGGACAGTGAGATCAATGCATTGATTTGATAACAGTTTAGGCCAGATTTAAAACTGAAAATATTATTGTGCAGTGTATGAAGTAGGGTTAATAAGTACTGCGTCATGGGGCCTCCCCTGGTGGCGCAGCGGTTGAGCGCTGGGCTGTGAAGCTGCCCGCAGCCTCTGCAGCGCTGGTTCGATCCCCGGCTGATCCCCGGCCCATCTCCGGCCGCCAGGCAAGGGTCCCACATGGTGCGCAGACCCCTCCTGCCGCCCGCTGCTCCCCTCAGCAGTGTATTTCGTCTCCCTGTTCTGTTCCCCGCTCTGGCTCTGGTGAATTTTCTCTCCCTCCCTTGCTTCTGACTGTACCCAGTGCTTGTATAAATAAATAAATAAATCTTTAAAAAAAATAAATAAGTACTGCGTCATGAAATTTTTGTATCGGTATTTTGTTCAAACTCAATGTAATACAACTTATATATAATTGCTTTGCCAACTATCCAGTAAGACGTATACAGGTTTGAACAACACAGGCCCACATGCAGGCAGGTTTTTCTTTTCTATCTGCAGTTTTGGGTTCATGGTTTCAACCAACTGGAACGTCAGTCAGATAAGGATGCAGAGCCCTAGTCCACATACAGAGGACCGACTTGGAAGTTACAGGCAGATCTTTCACTGCCTGGGGGTGAGCACCCCTACCCCCAAGTTGTTCAAGGGTCTACTGTACATATAGGCACGTGTCACTTACTGACAGAGATGCTTCCTGAGAAATGTGTCACAGGTCATTCATTGTTGGGCGAAGGCAACATTAGCATTGGATTTTGTATACTCAGTGGCAGGAGGATCAAATCAACAGATTTAACCAAGCATGGAGGAACCTGATGCTGTCTAGAGCCGGGGTAAACCAGACATGCTCAACGTACCCCACCCAGCTGACAGTACTCCCTGCCAGTCCCTGCCCACCAGCACCCACACCCCGGGCTGCAGCCCAGTGAGGGCAGCTCTGGAAGAAGTGGGCACTAGCTGTCACCAGCTCCCTGAACAGGTTGGCAACTGACTTTACAGTCAATCGACTGCTTTTTATCTTCACTGAGAGCTCCCATGGTTCATTTTTTTAATTATTAAAATGTCAAGCTTCTCTGAAATGGACAAAATAGTTTAAGATGAGGGTGAATGGAAGGAAGGAGCTGACCCCATGTGTCACGTCCTACTTCTCTAAAGTCAAAAGTGTCCAAAGTGAAGACCAGGGTCAAGTCCAGCTCCCACACCCACACAGCAGAAGCCCCTGACCTCACAACAGAAAGTAGGAGTGAAAATGGGCGGACAGACACATCCCGACCTTTCTGTAATCAGCTCGAGCGGGGCAGTTCCATCTGCATCTAAATGAGCACCACGATCCTCCTGTAGTGGCAAGTTTATGAGCGTCCTGAAAAATTTCCCACCTGCTAATTGTTTTTTCTTGTGATCCAGTCACACTGGAAGAAACAGATGGGTCCTGCCTTCTGTCACTCAGGCGGGTGCCAGGCAGCGGGGTCAGGTGACTGTGCACCCTCTCCAAGTTAGAAGCCACCCTTCCTTGACTTTCCCGTTGGCACACAGGA